ACATCAAATGGCTCAGCTTCAATTGGAAGTCTTATGTCTGACTCCCCGCTTTGACATTCCAACTCTTCATAGGCTGCAGCTTCAGCTTCTGTTGCAGCTATCTCTTTTTTACATTTTAGAATGTGGAGATTAGCCTCTAGCTCTGCCTTCTGTTTCATTATTTTAGCCTCCTTTTCAGCAAAGGCAAGTTGTGCTTTAGCTGCTTGTGCTTTAGCGTAGGCTTTTATACCCGAAAAACTTGAAGATGACTGACTGCTTGGAGCCTTGAGTTTGACACTGCGTGGCGGCGGCCTCTCTGGCAGCGGCACTCTCTCCAATGATTGCCCAGTACGTTCTGGGAGGTCTTCACCGTCTGGATTCTCTCCTTCCACATCTGGCTGTGACCCTGCAGCTCCTTCATTCTGCTGCTCATAGTCTCTTAAATATTGTGTGCCTGAACGTAGACTCATGTTAGCTTTATGTAGCTTTGTGCTGCTTGAACCCACTGAGTCGTCGTCTTTTTACTGTGCTGTCCTCACAACACGTGACCATGTGAAGCTAGACAGCCAGCGAACGGGAAAGAAACTCTGTAGACAAGGCTTGCTTTTCTTGTTTTATAGAGAATCTTGTATTTGGTCAATTCAATGTTACAAAAATCACCAAAATCACCGTAACTGAAACAACAGAAAAAAGTGCGTCACTATCAACGGCTGTACACACGAAATTACATACAGCGCTAGCTAATCAGAAATAGCACAAACTTAAAACTTCACACTTAACACTTTTGTGGTCCGAACATTGTGCTTGTGACATTAAATAATACTTACAAAGACGAGAGTTTGCCAAGGCTCAACACAAGAAAGCTCTCTGCGTTAAATGAGACGTTAGATTACGTGCTTGTACCAGTTACCAAGGGAACAAAGATTGTTACAGAAAAACAAGAGCGCTTACTCTGCGCGAACAGGAAACTGTTGTTTTCTAGAGAGGAAGTCTCCCTTTTGTTTTCCCCTTATATTTTAACAAATTTAGCTTATTGCTTTAGCATTTAAGTTTAGCAAACTTTTAAATGAATGAATTATGTCTTTAAACGTGAAGACATGACAATTGCTATTTAGGACCCATTATTTGATTTAGTTTCATGTTGGCCACTAGAAAATTTTATTTATAAAGTAAAATTGCCAATAAATGTAATGAAAAGTTATTCTTACATTTTAAAACTCTTATGTGAAAAACGTTTCTACTGATCTAAAAAATGCTTTGCATATGACATCAAATTTTCAAACTATACATGAAATGTTTTCTATATTGTTTACTAGAAGAACCATGAGTAATGAATACACATATTTTTCCTACAGACGTTACCATTTATATGTTCAACTGGGGCCGCAGAGGGGGTTGTCACTTCCACTGCTGTTTCTGTTCAAATACATTTCCGAGGAGAAAGGCAATCCTAAAACACCTTAATACCTGCCTGTCCCAGAACCAGCCACCACTGCCCACTCTGCCCCAGAACCAGCCGCCTTTGCCACAGGACCAGCCGCCTCTGCCCGCTCTGCCCCACAACCAGCTTCCTCTGCCCGCTCTGCCCCAGAACCAGCCGCCACAACCCAGAACTCGCAATTCCACTAATTTGAAGAGGGTACAGTGCACCATTTGTAATGTTGACTTGAACAGTAAGTACTTAAAACAGCATCTGATGAGCCAGCACCCCATTGCTAAGGAAGATATCAGAGTTGATCGACACTTGCCAAGCCAATGTCTGGACATTAGCTTGGGCATATATGCTGTTGCAAAGTCATTCAACAGTAATAGTGCACCAATTCATGTTAAACCACAGGCACAAACCACCAAATCAGCTGTTCTTTAGTTGCCTGTCACCACAAAACAGAGGTAATGCATAGAAGCGGCTTTACTTCTTATGAATGTGCTCACATAGAGTCTTTGAGGTATTGTCCACCACTCTTCATCTCCAATATTCAGCTTGAGAACTTTTCTGCAAACATTTCAATATCTGGAAAAAATGCTATTTATAGCAAGAGTAATAGCCAAAAAATTATATAAATGGATTTTTGGTGTAAAAACATTGATAATTTGCATGTAAAACACTTTGCAGACAGTTGGCACAAAAATGGACCACTTGTGCCGAATGTGCCCATTAGTTACAAAAAAGCCCCCAGCATCAAAATAGTTCCAGCTAAAGGTCTAAAATTTCATACAGGTGTTTCCAACACCACAAACATCTGCTCTGGTGAATTTGAACATCATACCATAAAGTATGTCTTCAGGAGAACCTTTTGAAATTGCCTTTTTTTTTTCGAGACAAAAAAAACTAACTTTGACTCATGTTTGAGAAGCTGTAGTGCAGACTGTGTCCTTCCTAACAAACGGTAACATACATTTTCAAAAACTAGAAGGTGTTACCTTTCAAATGAGGCATCATCAGACATGAAAGCAGGCTCAAGACGCACCTTTTTAGATTAGCTTTTGATTAGTTTTTACTATTTCATTTTATATATTCTATTTATCCTCTATTAGTTATTGTATTGCTATTGCTTTTATTCATGTATTGTGTGTTAGTTCATTTTAGTTTCATTTTAGTTTCACAGTTTTGTGTTTTACATATTGTATTGTTATTATATTGTTTTTAGTGTACCCAGTGTTTCCTCTGGAGGAGCCCTCTGCACTGGGAGCAGTGGTCGGTGTGGCTGTGGGGGTCGGACTCTTGGACCTGGTGGGGGCCTGGGGCCTCGGTTTCGGGTCTCCTCTAGATCCTGTGTCGTCCCCTGTGGCTACAGGCGGCTCTTTGCTCCTGGTGCAGACGGCTCCTAGGATGACGCTTTTTCAACTGGTTGCATCCGAACCCTGCCAAGTCTCTCATCATTGTTTTACTGTTTTACTTGTGTGTGTGTGTGTGTGTGTGTGTGTGTGTGTGTGTGTGTGTGTGTGTGTGTGTGTGTCAGAGTGTGCATGGGAGCGTGTGTGCGTTTGTCTGTGGTTTGGGATGGGTCTGTTGGGTGGTCGGGGGGAGGGGACATGGGTCGGCGGGATTGTTTTTAACCAAACTGTAAAGCACTTTGTGTTGCATCTTTTGTATGAAAAGCGCTTCATAAATAAAATTTGATTGATTGATTGATTGACAAGATGTCCACACAATAAGCATTTCCATTTGGGTATCATAATTCGAGAAGGAGCAGGCGAAATTAGGTGATCCTTAAAGGGTTAATAAACATTATTTGTGAAAGTGTTTTTTGTGTAGATACACTTTGAAAGGTGTACAATAACATTTTTGTAGTGTATATATGTATTGTATGTGTAATGTGAGATAAGATATTCCTTTATTCGTCGCAGTGGAGAAATTTCAGTGTCATTGTTGCATATTACAGCAGAAAAAGAAGGAAATAAGAGCACTCAGATTGCACACATCAAATAGTCTATTATTTAAGATAATAGACAATTGAATTAATATAAACTCTGGAGCTATATTTGCACTTGGTTCAGGAGTATTTACAGCTGTGTACATGGTTTATATAGTCATTGTTACATCACAGATACGTCACACATCCAGAGACAATCGGAGCATATTATAGTCATAACATGGATACACAATCAAGAGTCCTTGTAGAGTCTTGCTGTTGTCCACCTGCGTAGGTCATATAGCTATCTGATTCCCATAGAGCCAATAATTGAATCGTAGAACATATGGACTAACAGAAGATCATGGACGGTTGGTTTCATTTGGATTGGCCCAGTAATTGGAAATAAAGACTAAAAGTCTGGTTTCTTCAGTTAGCAGCACAACATGTACAGCGTCCATGAATTAATGCAACCATCTTGTTTTCACACTTAAATGTTGTAATGAATAATATCAAATTGATAGTTAAAAAATAATACAGTGGACCACTGTGCACCTGTATAGACGGTAGCTCACGAGTACCACCAGGAGGGAACATTTCTCGGTAGACGGTAAAACCCATAGATATATCTTTATTTTAAAAGAACTGTCTATCATCAAGAACAGCATTGACATCGTTCTTATTTTGAAAAACCGAATGAGATCGGATGTGTTCAGCAGCGAATTAAGAAGGAGGAGGCGTTTCTGTATTTGAAGAGGGTGTTCCTGTAAGCACATGAACGCCCCTTTTAAGCTGCTGGCCGGATGATATTGAGTACAGGAGGCGCATGCTAGAACTATTGGACATGTTTTTAGTGGTAGGGGAAACCGGAGTACCCGGAGGAAACCTACGCAGACAGGGGGAGAACATGCAAACTCCACTCAGAAAGGCCCTGGTCCGACCAGGATTCGAACCCAGGACCTTCTTGCTGAGAGGCGAGAGTGCTATCCACTCAGCCACCGTGCCGAGTGTGTATGTGTGAATTTGTGAGTGTGCGAGTGCATGTATGTGCCTGTATGTATTTGTGGGTGTGCGAGTGTGTGTATGTGCCTGTATGTATTTGTGGGTGTGCGAGTGTGTGTATGTGTGTATTTGTGGGTGTGCGAGTGCGTGTATGTGTGTATTTGTGGGTGTGCGAGTGCGTGTGTGTATTTGTGGGTGTACGAGTGTGTGCATGTGCGTGTATTTTTTGTGTGGTACCGTGTTCTTTCCTCCGCAGCTTGTGACAGTGGATCAATACTACAATAACATGAAAGTGGAGTGTAGAGCTTGAAATCTGCAAAACTACTAAAAATAAGTTTTATTGAGTTTATTTTTTAACTGCACAAAAATAGTTTCTCCTCATATTACATTAATTACTGTTTTTACATTTTTCAATTACTTTCAATCACTCCCACTCAGCTTCAAACCACTTTAGTCTAAATAAAACGGCATATTTCACAAAATGCTACTGGTTGGTTGATTTTACCCTTACATTAGGTTGTTTTGCGATACCCTAATTTTCATGTAAACGAAAAGGAAACGCAATCATTCTCAGATAATCCGCTGCATTTTGAGGTTGTGCCTGAGTCGAGAAGGTGCCATTGTCTTTGGGAGAGCTCCACCAAAGTCCTGGACCCCTGGAGAGGTCTAGAGCAGGCCGTGGGGGTCCCGGCTGTACAGGTCCAGCTCCTGGTACAGGACGAAGCTCTTGAGCCTGGGGGGGAACAGGCTCATGACCTCCTGCTTGTTGAGTCTCTTTAGGGTCAGACGGCTCCTGATCTCCAGCCGACACAGGTGCTTGAGGGAGCGGGGGCTGCCTGAGGGGACACACACACGCCCGTCATCCTTGGACAGACTGCTGAGGGTGATGCAATCCCTGGTCGATCCAGGTTTCTGAATAATATATACACACAACCTGCAAGCATTTGTACATTTCTTTATATAAGAATGGGGTGGGAGTTTAGAAGATGTCTTTTTTTTTTCAAGAAATGTGTTAGTGTTGTACTTGCTGGATTTTTGTGGTATTTTGTTGCATTACCATGAAAAAAATTGAGCAAAATATAGAGACAAAGGGACAATACAAGTATACCCTCAAAAAGCCTTATTTACTCATCAAAGTGTACAGTAAAGCATTATTATACATGTGAAACTCGTAAACTATTGTTCAAAAAACCTTTCCCTGTGTCTTCCCATCTTCCCTTCCTCTCTTTCCCCCCTGCTCTCTCCCTTTTCACCCGTACCTAGACTAAAAATGCAAACTGTGGCTTGGTTTGTGGCAGAAGATCTTAGCGGGCCTCCTTTAAAAAATCACACAAAGACACTTGTTTGCCTCGGATCTTCCTAAATTCGTTCATTACATGACAGTTTCAGAAGAAAATTGCAGCTGTATGCAACGCTTCTGACAGCTGCAGCAGCCCTCAGACTTACAGCCGACATGTTTGATATCTCCACGATCGCACTTCAGCAATTGTGAGTTCAGAAAGTTAGAAAAGTGTATACAATGTGTGTGAGGAGTTTTACATCCTTGCACACGAACAATGCTCAGACTTGGCAAAATGAATATTAATTTGAGAACATGTTGACCTCCTTAAAAAAAGATTGGCCAATGGGACATGCAATATTATCATGTTTTAGAAAGAATGAGAAAATGAAGCAAAAGTTCTTGAAATGAGACTAAATGGCTTTGTGAAATCTTATCTTAAGATGAAGATAAGATAAAAAAAACAAAAACAAAAACAATTGATTCAAGTAATTATTACCTCATATTTTATATTTTTTTAAAACATAGAGCTGCTACTTCACAGATCTTGCTGATTGCAGGTTATTGCCAGAACGTTACCCTCTTGATTAACCAGGCACCAGTGTATATACCCCAGATCTGGACTCACTTTGAATGAGGCATATTTGGGGCCACTCCTTCTGCTTCTTCAGGATGAGTGTGAGCGTGGAGCAGATGTGCACGTGTTTGACGTAGTCCAGCAGGGTCAGGACCACTCTGCCCGCCAGGTGCACGATGCAACACAGACTCATGAACTCACAGAACTGAACAGGAGATAAAAGAAAGAGCATATGAGCTAGCACCAAAAGGACAGAAGACAGAAATGAGGGTATAAATAAGCCAAGGCTTCATCTTTGAACATACTTGACATATATTGTACCGATATCTAGGGGAGCATGTATACTACAAACACAAAACCTGTTTCTCTTTTAAAAAAAACAAAAAACAGCTTAATAATTATAAATAAGAAAGGCTTCGGAGAGCACACAAATACCTTGTTTATAAAATCCAGACAACTTAAAGGTATAAAGGAGGATTTTCCCATATTTTAGGAAAGAACCGCCCTTTCTACTTTTTGAACAAAACTCTCTGCTCTTATAGGACAAGGACGTATAAACAGAATGATTGACATTTGGGAGGACCAATAGTGTTGATGATCCACCCGGAAGTAGAAAATCCTCTTGTATACCTTTAAGTTTAAAGAACTGGTCGATCTGCGAACGGTGTTAATTGTATGGAAAGTCAAACACAAACTATTGTCCGAAGCAGTTCAAGAGAGGTTCAAATTTATGTCACAAGAGTCGAACCACAGACGGGTATTTAACTTCAGAACTGCATTTACAAGGACTTATGAAACAGAAGTGTGTGTCTGTGTGTGGTGATCATTTATGGAACGCTCAGAGCGACTCACTGAAATGTGCCAATAATTTACTTTTTTTAAATGTATGAGATCAAAAAATTAAGTTAATATGAAGAAAACGAAAATATTTAAGTGTGCAGTAAGTTTGTTATTGAATAAGATGGAAAAATTCTAGATTGGTGATGATACTAAAATGTCTTCACAGTATTTATAAGACTGCTCCTGTTTGTTCATGTTGCACAGATGTAAAGTTTATATGATGTATGTAAGTAATATGATGACATGGACCAATAAATAAATAAAATAAATAGGATGTACCACTTCAAATATTGTATTGAGTATTTTTGGTGAAGGTTGACAAGTAACAGATGAGGCATGAGCATTCCTGGTTAAATATAGGTTAAATAATGAAAAAACAAAACAAATAAAAACTCAAAGGGAATCTTGTCCTTTCGATCATTAAAAAAGCCACACACAAAAAATAGAACAAAACATTGATTGACGTTGACGTTGAAGCCTGAATCACTCTTCCCATTCCTTCTTCCCTCTTGACCAAAACAATCTATTTGAATTCCAAATCTCCAGTAGGGGGCAGTATACGGCTGATGATTGGTGGTAATTGACCTTGCACTGGCCCTTCCAACATACAAACACACACACATACACACACACACATATAAACACAAATGTAAAAAATTGCCCTTCCCCAAATTTTTTTTATAAAAACATGGGCACACAGCCTTGTCCCAACAGAAGGGGGCAGTCCACAGTTAACGAGTTGGTTATTATAAAGGTGTAACACTAATTAGGTATCTGTTACTGAGCCAATTAATTAGTAAATTATTTGTAAACATGAATAAATTCGAACATAATTATAAAGTGTTAACAAAGGTCATATTCTATCTCTCAATACAAAGAATCTCACCAAGTATCTAACTCTTGTCAAACGGTAACGAGCTTTTGGCAATAACACAAAAGACAAAGTTGTGAACAGTAGAAGTCCAAATGAGTTTCCTCCGCAGAGAACCTCCCTTAGAGATGCTCAATTTGGCCGTTATACAACAAACTGTTTTTACTTTTTGTTGAAAATCAAACAGTAAAAACAGTTTTACCTTTTCTCACTTTTATTTAAAAATGTATTAAAAGTGAGTTAAAAAAACGTGTAAAATTAAAATAAATTTTGATTTTAATGATGCGGGTGAAAAACTTACTTTTTGAGGGAGTTTTTCAGAATTCCAATTATTTTCAATCAGGTATTCTGGGAGTCCTAGTGTTAAAGACTAGTGTTAAAAAATAAAAATAAAAATAGACAACATTGTTAAGGCTCATCTCATTCAAAAACACTAGAGCTGTTTTCATGGCAACCCCTCACTGCCCCCACAGACCAACCCTCACTTTTCTCCTATTACCGCGCTCAACCTGGATGACTCACTTCCTTCAGACTCCAAACCAAAATAACTCTGCTCACCGGTATTTTCTCCTCCTCGTCGCAGGCTTCCCCAGGCTCGCTGTCGTGGTGGCACCGGAAACACGCCTCCACCTTGTACCCGTTGTTGAGCAGCAACCTCATCATCACTTCATCTTTCAGACAGTACTGCAACGCCGTTGGAAAGACCGTATCGCTCACCACGTTGAAGTAACAGTTCACGTCCGCTTTCGCCGCCAAGAGCAACTTCACGATCTCGTACCTCCCCGACCGGACCGCCACCAGCAGGGAGCAGAGCGGGTCCAGGTCCGTCTTGGCCCCGGCAGCGAGCAGGACCTTGGTGCAGTCCACGTCACCGTTGGAAACAGCAAAGTACAGCGCGCTCCTCCTCATGTCGCGGTAGTTTTCGGCGTTTCTGGTGTTCATTCGGTAGTTGACGTCGAATCCGCAGGCCAGCAGGAGTTTCAGGCAGCGGCTGTGGCCTCCCTCTGCCGCGGAGTGGACCGGGCTTTGTCCTGCTTCTTTAATGGCTTTCTTGTGGGTCAGGGGGATGAGGATCTTCAGGGCCCTGGGGGAGAGGGGAAGCAAGCTTTTACAAGAGCGGTTTCCATAGCAACAACGAAACAAAATGTAGTTATAATGTAATGTTGTTAGACTTCAGGTGGATGTTCATGTTTTAAAAGGGACATAGTAGGAACAAAGTAAGTGAGTAACAATTGGTATAGCCATAAATCACATGAGCAGTTATCTCAGAGGACTTTACAAAGTCTCAATTCCTCAACTATATGAAGCGTATTTCATACACCAAGGTCACACAAAACATTTTACGTATTAGGCAAATCAGCCTTTTTGAGATTTGATTCATTGTTGTTCCTTCATCAGTCACAGACCTACAGATCGACAGTCTGAGTCCTGGTTCTACAGCCTCAATCAGTCTTGGTTCTACAGCCTGAGTCTTTAGTCCTGGATCTACAGCTTCAGTCCTGGATCTACAGCCTCAGTCCTGGTTCTACAGCCTCAGTCCTGGATCTACAGTCTCAGTCCTGGATATACAGCCTCAGTCCTGGATCTACAGCCTCAGTCCTGGAGAGTGCTATCTACTGCGGCACGGTGTTTGAATGGATAGCACTCTCGCCTCTCAACAAGAAGGTCCTGGGTTCGAATCCCGGTACAGGGCCTTTTTGAGTGGAGTTTGCATGTTCTCTCCGTGTCTGCGTAGGTTTCCTCCGGGTACTCCGATTTCCCCTACCACTAAAACCATGTGCAATAGGTCTGGCATGCACCTCCTGTACTGGCGACCCCGCTCCCATCTCTGTGTGGAGTGAGAGACAAATGCCCACAATTGTAAAGCGCTTTGTGATTCAGGTCTGTGAAAGGTGGTATATAAACAAAGATTACTTACTACTTACTTACTTACAGCCTCAGTCCTGGATCTAAAGCCTCAAAATGCAGTACTTACAGAGTCGCAAGTTTAGTCAAAAAAAATTCTTTATTGCTTTGAGAAAAGTATTAAAGGTGGCCTTCAAAGAGGCGGCCTGGATCTAGGCCAAACGCAGTAAAAGCAAATCTTTGCGTTATGTAAAGATTGAACTTTTAAACTTTTATACCAAAGTTACATTCTGAAAAGCTGACCGACACAAAGCCGAAGGAAGCTGATAATAAATATGTACTGAAAAGAAAATATGCTGTGAATTTTGTAGATTCATTCATTCATTTGTAAATAATCAAGTTTAACTAAAAAACACAATTTTAATGTGAAATATTAAATTCTCTTTCAACATTTACTGTAATTTTTGGTTAATAAGGTTTAGCCAAATAAGGGTTAAACTTCAGTTGTTGGATAAAATAAACACAATAAATAAATAAAAAATATTATATATTATGTTAATGAATGAAGTTACAATACAATACAATACAATACAATTTATTCTTGTATAGCCCTAGGTCACAACAGAAGTCATCTCAGAGGACTTTACAAAACCATTGAAATCACCAACACAGGTCAGAGAATCAACAGTTAAAACACATGAAGCACACACAGAAGAAAATGTCCATACATGTTGTAGAATGCTAAAGTGTCCTGATCATCACCAATCCTTTCTGTTGGACACTAACTGTCCAACAAGACCCTCCTGCATCGACAAGGAAAAACTCTTAAAAAACCCAGTGGGAAAACGTGAGAAACCTTGGAGGAGAACTAGGGAAACCCACAGGGAGGGAGACCCATATGAGAAAGGGATCCGCTCCTCCGGACGGACAGGCTGATGATCTAGGACCTAAGCTAGCTACAGAACGTGGACCAGTGGCCGCTGAACGTGGACAGGTCCGGTGCAGGACCGAAGCACTCCCAGGCGGGTCGGGCGGGGCAGTCCGCAGGTGTAGATGGAAGAGGCCAAGCTCAGAGATCCCGTCATCGTACCATGAAACAGACAATGGGACAACGGGTGAATAGCAATGAACAAACTACAGTCAGAATCCTAAAAATGCTAAACAGATAAAGTAGGAAGGAGGAGAGGATAGTGCTCAAGTTACCATACTTCTCCCAGAAAACTGACTCCCTATGCAGCTTGACTGACACTCTGAGGAGTTTAACCTTCTCCGAGTCTTACCTTCCTAGCCATATGCTAAACTAAAGAGGACTGTTTTAAACCTAGCCTTGAATAAAGAATAACATACAGCATAATATATAACATAATATACAACATAACACAATACATTATTGAATAATATATAACATAATATATAACATAATACAGCATATATATATAATATATACACTACATATTATATATTACCTAATTATATGATAAATTAAAGTAAAGTGCTTTAAGCCTGGCCTTGAATGTGGAGACCGTATCTGCTTCCTTAACATAAATGGGAAGCTGATTCCACAGTAAAGGAGCTTGGTAGCTAAATGCTCTGCCACCAACAGTGACCTTTGAGACCTTAGGGACCACCAGACGTCTGGCGTTTTGTGAGCGCAACGCTCGACCTGGTTGATACGACACTAACGTGTCTTGGAGATAAGAGGGAGCCAAGCCATTTATGGCTTTATATGTTAAGAGTAGGATTTTAAACTTTATTCTGTACTCCACAGGGAGCCAGTGGAGTGATTTTAACACCGGAGTTATGTGCTCCCTCCTTTTGGTACCTGTTAAGATCCTAGCTGCTGTATTCTGAACGAGCTGGAAGCTCTTCAAAGAGGCTTTAGGGCACGCTGCCAGTAAAGCGTTACAGTAGTCGAGCCTTGAGGTGACAAACGCGTGAATGAGTTTTTCCGCGTCACTTTTAGGAAGGAAATTCCTAATTTTAGCGATGTTCCGTAAGTGGAAGTACGCCGTTTTAGTTGCTTGGCTTATATAAGCCTTGAAGGAGAGTTCTTGGTCAAAAATGACTCCAAGATTCCTCACAGTGTTACTGGGTATTATACTGACATTATCGAGAGTAACCATCTGGTTAGTGAGGGAGTCACGCAGGCGCTTCGGACCGAGTAGGATCACTTCTGTCTTCTCCGGGTTGAGAAGTAGGAAGTTAAGAGTCATCCACATTTTAAGGTCCTTTATGCAGGCACTGAGCTTTTCTAGCTGATCTGTCTGGTTAGGCTTCATCGACAAATAAAGCTGTGTGTCATCTGCATAGCAGTGGAAATTAATTCCATGCTTTTTAATAATGTTTCCCAGTGGCAGCATGTAGAGAGTAAAAAGAATCGGTCCGAGTACCGAACCCTGCGGCACACCGAATTCCACTCCAGAATAAGGCGACGAGTCCTGATTCACATTGACGAAGTGATATCGATCTGATAAATAGGATTTAAACCAGCCAAGGGCTGTTCCTCTAAGACCTATATCACATTCTAGCCTCTGCAGTAGAATGCTGTGGTCTATTGTGTCAAATGCAGCACTAAGGTCCAGTAGGACCAGCACTGACACTTGTCCATTATCGGCAGCTAGTAGTAAGTCATTTGTGACTTTGACTAGTGCCGTTTCAGTGCTATGATGAGCTCTGAATCCAGATTGAAAGACTTCAAACATATTATTTTCCTGCAGGTGGCAGCGGAGCTGCTCAGCTATAAGTTTTTCCAGGATTTTAGATATAAAAGTGAGGTTTGAGATCGGTCTGTAGTTTGTAAGTATTTCTGGGTCCAGGTTTGTTTTCTTCAGAAGGGGTTTGATTACCGCGGTTTTAAAAGCTTGTGGGACATAGCCACATTGTATGGATGCGTTTATTATATTTACGATAGGCTCAATTATCAAAGGAAGTATGTCTTTGAAGAGCCATGTCGGGACTGCGTCTAACATGCAAGTTGAGGCTTTTGAGGATGTGACCACAGAGATCACCTCTGCTTGGCTCACAGCCATGAATTTATCAAGGCCCACTGAAGAGTCTAAGTGGGAAGTCACGTATGCCGCTTCAACCTGTCCACCACTAACAGCAGGAGCAACCTCCTCCAGCTTGTCACGGATGGATGTAATTTTATTATTAAAGAAGTGGAGAAAGTCGACACTGCTCAGTGAGCTTGGAATTTTAGGCTCGATTGCGCTATGGCAGTTTGTGAGTTTAGCGACGGTGCCAAACAAAAATCTACTGTTGTTTTTATTCGCTTCTATTAAAGTTAAAGATGAAGTCAGTGATTTTTTCCAGACACCATTTTTTAAAGTTTGTGGAAAACGTCCCTAAACCCTAAAAGTAGTCAAGTTATCATGTGTTTTCAAATAGTAATGGAATTGACCAGATGTCTATAGTCTCAAAAAATCAAAAACTAATATTTTGGAGCAGTCCGATGAAGATAAACCAATGGGATTCGTTCACCCCCAACGAACCAATGGGATGTGTTTACCCCTTCACCCTCTTCCTGTTTCTCAAGAGTGCACCTGAGTTTTCGGATTATTTTCTAAAATCTTAAATGGCTGAACAGAAAAGGCCAAATTCAAGTTTGCCGCCCACTCTCATTGTGACAAAGAAAAGAAAATTCTGGATGTTTGGTTTGGTGGTGCTACGGCTAAGCTAACAAAATCGCTTACTGCACCTTTAATCAAAAATAAAATACATCCAAGTAATTTCCACACACATAAAAAAATAATAATAATTAAATGAATTCAAAAGAAAAAAAATGAACTAAATATTTATCAATAAAATATAATAAATGGAAATACAAATTAAAACCTGAAAAAAAGAAAAAAAAAAAATACAAAAAAATAATACAAATAAATGGAACAAAACAAAAAAAGCAGGTCCCATGTTAACCGTCATTTTTCACACAAAGCAGGACCTAACTAATTTGGCACTTACTCATAATTCCCGGCGTAGGCAGCTTTGTGGATGGGCAGATGTCCCGTGGCGCTGTGCAGGTTTGGGTTGGCGCCGTTGTCCAGAAGAAACTTAATACAAGCCGTGTTTCCTGATCCTGCTGCGTCCAACAGAACGCTCTCCCCATTACAGGCCTGAGAGTTCACTTTGCTGCCTGCGCCCAAAAACACAAAACACGACATGACCTGGAATAGAATTTGAGTTGAAAAATGAGAACTATTTCTGAATTCTCAATTCTGGAAACACCTGGTTATGCCACTGCACAAATATCAAGTCTTGTTGCGGTTGTGCATCTCGCGGTGGCATTTGCACAACCACATTTCAAAGAATTAATATCAAGAGATGATTATTTTTGAACCAACAAAACAAATTTAAATCTATTTGCAGTATGTTGTAATGGTAAATCTAAAGTCTTTTCATTCTTATTAACATGAATAACTTAATATAGCTTGAAAATGAAAGATGCAGTCAATGATTTAAGCTTTTTTTAAATACTGCGGGGAAATGTCCCTAAACCCCATAACAAGTCATTTGATCATGTGTTTTCAAATAAGAATGGACATGACCAGATGCCTGTAGCCTCAAAAAATAAATCATAAATATTTTGGAGTGGACCGAAATAAACCAATGGGATGCGTTCCTCTGCCCCCGTTTTGGCAAATTTCACCATTGACACTCGCCTTGTAGTGGCAAAGAACTTAAAGAAGGTTTAAACATCATTACAGTGCCATTTGGCCTTCATACACACAGTTTTTTCATTGATTCCCTCAAGTTTTAGTTAGAGCGTGATCTTTCGCTTTCATTCTCCAGAGGAAGCAAAACGGCCTGATTCACTTTGGGCTGATTCAGCTCGAGCCCCAGAAGCCCGCTCCCAGGAGATGATTGACAGGAGAGAGAGAAACCAAACACTGACCGCAGTTCACCAGGATCTCGATGATGTGGAAGTGTCCGTTCTCTGCCGCCACAGCCAGAGGGGTCGTCCCGGTGATGTCCTTCTGATTGACCCGGCCCCCGTTTCGCAGCAGCAGCATCAGGATGTCCGGGTCGCCCACTTTAGCGGCTTCGTGCATAGCTGTCCACCGCTTTCTGCAGATCTGCTCCACCCACGCTCCCTGAGTCACCAGCAAGTGGCTCATTTCATAGGATCCGGATCGGACAGCTGGAAACACAACAATTATTATATCAAATATTTTTTTTATATTTTCTCCACTATAGGAACCTTTTTAGATTTGTTTTTAACTTGAGTCTTAACTTCACTTGCTTCTATATTAGGCTATAGTTACTGGCCTCCTGCTGGTGCCCAGAGGCAGAACTAAACACGGGGAGAAAGCATTTCAGATCTATGCAGCTAAAATATGGAAAAGTCTTCCTGAAAATGCAAAACAAGCTTCTTCTGTTTAGCTGTGCATATAACTGGAGGATTGTATATTTACCCTTTTTCTTGTGCTTTTCTACTCTACTGTTCAATTAATTTAGTTTCATTTGATTCACACAATACCTGAACGCACACACAACATGAGTTTGCGGCTGTTTACGAAAATAGATAGACGCCATCTTTTCAGCAAACAACCTCGGTGTCCTCTGGCCGTTGTTAGCTCTGACCTCTGTTATCGCTGTGAGATCTGACCTCTGTAACTTCTGACCTGTTACTCCTGATCTCTGTGACCTCTGCACAGACGAATCCAAATGATTTCCAGCAGAGCTCAGGTGAAACCAACACACATTTCTAATCGCGGCAGTGTTCTTGTTCTGTCCATGTCTCAGACCCCCTCTCTCCTCCTATATTAAACCAAAAACAACAGGTGTATGGCCTTCTGCAGTTTTTCAGACGCACGTATTATCATAAAGTTTCCTCTACATGTTAAACTGAAACAAAAACTCATGTAAGTCCATGTGAGTTTTTTAGAGTATAATGTGTCGTTCTCATGAAGCCATGATGTCTGTGTGGGAGACAGATCCACACTACTCACTTTGAGAGTGTGAAAAATGCGCAAACAATTTTACGGAATAAATTCAGATTTATTTGAAAAAACGTAAAACTTATCTTTAGTTTCAAATATTTAAAGAATATAAATGTATCGAAAAAGTACTTTGTTTAAGGAACTGTATGTCTGTTAAATATAATATACAAACATACAAAGCTTAAAAACTGGTTAAACCCATGGTGTGGAATAGCACAGGCTCAAATAAGCACTGCTTCAGCCTGTTCCTTTTTTAGTTGCAATTCATTATATTTTACTAAATTATTGGAACTGTAACTTTGTTTTATTGAAAGTAAGACTAAAAAAATCAAACACCTATACACTGATATTACAGACATATGAATGCAACATAACATCAACATTTTTCTGTTTGTGGCACACACCTCAACCGCTGCGTCCCCGTGCCGCCTTGACAGCTGCGTTTTATAGACCACCACAAATCACCCCCTGACTTTTGTCATTGTTTTGGCAAGTATTCTTTGTGGCAAACGAATACGTAACATGCCGTCCCGATGCTGTCATGCCCATCATTTTTTGATACAAAGTCGTGGACAAAAATGCCGTCAGGAGGGTGTCCAGGTCAAATTTAGCTCCCTTTGAAAAACCTCTACAACACGGCACACCTGTTTGGGCTGGTAACGTTTTGGCTACTCTACGCTCGCTGTGCTCCACTTACACAAGCCCGATACTGCAATCCTCATTCAATTGTCCAGATTTATTGCACAGTCGTTGACAAATACATTGTCATTGCTAATATTTCAATCCCAGTTAAAGTCTTCACCTGTTTGAAGCAATAATCTTTTATGTTGCAAGGCCCATAAGGTTTAGCCCAAGACTAGACTTAGACATAGTTGTGGTAGGCTTTTGCCACTTGGCCTGTAAGCAAATCACCAATTGATAATAAGTTAATTCTGTTTAATGTCTTCACCTGTTTGCGGTTGTAATGTTAATGCAGGGCCATAGACTGGACATAGATGGACAATGCTGACCCGCCAGGTTAATGAAGGCCAATAGGAGAGTGCTCATGGTGATGTTCTGTTCCAGCTCACTCTGGCTCCAATCAGATGGCTTCATTTGCGGGTTTAACTCCAGCTTTCCTTATAAACACGTCTGCCCTTGTTTGGGGGGTGCAAAGCTAACACCTTGGAAGATGACAAGGAATTTGGCTCTAACTAGTTCTTGTTAAAATTGGCTTCTTTCACACTCTGCAAAAAAACTATGGATGACGTCAGCACTTGGTATGTCCACTCCTAATATACGCTCTCTGTGCAGGTTTGCGATCCAAAAGCGAAAACTATTTGCTGAAGAATAAGCATGGCGAGTGCTACACCGGCTTACAACAAGGGAGAAATTGAGCCAAACTTAGTTAAATAGAGCAGGAACCATCTGAGGATTAGCAGTGAGGAATAGTTATTTTATTTTAACATTGGTTGCCAACGTGTTTCAATTGTGTAGTGGAAAATGACCAATATTCAGGATATTTTTCATTAACTTGAGAAATGTAAAACCCAGCCTCAGTCTTGGATCTACAACCTGTCTGTCCATGGGAGCAAATTTCTCTAAGTATGGGCTTCCGCAAGGTTTCTACATGTTATTATTTTGGTTTTTTCTTTAGCTGTTCCTTGTCGGTGCAGTAGGATCTAAGGATAATGATGATCAGGGACATTTAGGGACATTTATGAACAATGGCTCATATGTGCATTTGGTATTGCATTTTCTGTGTTCGAACCCTTTGATTCTCCATTCTGTTATGGACAAATTGACAATTTTGCAGTCCTCAAGACACCTGCTGTTCAGATTTAGGTCTATACCAAAATGACTTGAGTTGAATCCACTTGCAGATGTCCTTTTGTCTAATGCCCTTTTTCCACATGAGTGCAGTTACCCAGCAGCAGTGGGGTCTCGCTCTTGCTGTTGGTGTTGTGGGGATTGGCTCCATGTTTGATCAGGCTCCTCACGTTCTTCACCCATCCGGCTTTTACAGCTATTGTTAACGGTGTCTCTCCCCCCACCGCCGTCCTCTCCTCCAGACTGGGGCCCTTGGCTGCCACTACAAAGTACAGTACATGAGTATATAACAGCCGTCTCTTTATGGAAACACAACAACAATGGGTACAAATACATGCTCAATGGAGACAGATGGTTAAGTGGCACTGGTACAAGTATAGAAAGACCTTGCCTTGGATCCTTACCCTAGTGTGTGTGTAGGTGTGTGTGTATATGATCGGTGATGGTCGGATGAGCCAATGATAGGGCGACAATAGCAGCCTGGCTTGCATCAATGCCCCAGGATGACAGCCGTTGTAGTTTACCCCCACAGTTAATAATGCCATATCAAGCGTCTTTGGTCGCCATGAAAAACACTATACAAGTCCTGAGCAAAATCATCAGCATCCTCCCCACTGGCACTAAAATAATAGCAGCCCATAAACATGGTATGGCACAAATGGCACGTACGGCCCATAAGGCGGGGGTCCGAGCATAGGCCTCTGACAGTTGTTGCTAATGGGCAGGTGAAGGGTCTAAGCTCGGCGAACACTTCGTAGAAAGCGCCCTATAGCCACATGAGTGTTGAGTGACATCACCGACTCTTCTGGAGCGGGTGGGCTGTTGACAGCTGTCATCTGCACGGAGCTCACATTGTCTCCGGCTTGAATGATTCCCTTTGTCATGACCGTAGGCCGCGGGCTAATGGAGGCATACGTGTGTTTAATCATCTTACATGAAAAGGACAAAGGCTTTCATTTGTTGTCATGCCCGGAGTATGTACAGGGTAAACAAGTAGGATTTGGAGATGACAGGAAAATGAATCGTTAAGAGAGGGCTCCGAGAAGCCGGGTGTTTTTCAGATCATAGACCAGGGGTATTCAACTTGGTCCTCAAAGGTCTGTGTGACAACAGGTTTGCATTCCAACCAAACAGGAGCACACACTAGACTGCATCAGATTCATTGGCTGAGTGTCTTGCACTCTTGCTTCTCAGCAAGAAGGTCGAGTGTTCGAACACCTGTCGGAACAGGGCCTTTCTGAGTGGAGTTTGCATAATCTCCCTGTGTCTGTGTAGGTTTCCCCGAACACAAAAACATGTACAATAGGCAAAAAGCCTCCAGCTCTGGTCATGACTAAGGCGAGCATCAATATCTGGAGATGAGTGCCCTGGCATCGCGACTACTGCTCCTGACAGAGGCCCAAGTGGGAATACAGGATGGGCCAAATGCAGAAGACAAATTTCCCAGAAGACGATAAAGAATAATAATAATTATAACTTAACTTAACAATTGGGGAGCCCAATGTTTGAGCTGAGCAGCACGGTCTGAATTTCTACTTTTGCTGCATGTTCGGAGCAAAAGTGCATTTGTATTAATACTTTTACAGGCCACAAAAACACCGGCACCTTTAGGCAACAGTACAGACAGACTCTACTCACATGTCAGAACAGTCTCCAGGACCTCCACCAGCGGCTGGGCTGCGGCTCGATGCAGAGGCAGCCACCCGCGACAGTCCATTTCCCTGAAGGCAAAGGTGTGTCGCAGCAACTCCCTGAGCATCCACACCTCACCTGGTCACCATGAGGCCCGAGATGATGGGAGAGGATAACACAATAATACTTGTTAATGTAATTCAGTTCTTCAGAGATGTGCAGAGGAACGCACATGTGGACGGCTCAACAAGATCTTATGAAAGTTTAATTTCTCTGCTTCTGTTGTGATGCCTTACCAGATGTGTTCTGCAAGAGCTATTCCAGTAACACAGTTTTTCACATGTTTTTATAATGTGTTTGTATTTGCACATGCTTACTGATATGCTATGATATGCAAAAGTAAAGCTTTCTTGCATGTAAGGCTGTTATGAACACTTATTTTAAAATTCATTTTGTTTGCCTATTGTCCAGGTCTCCCTTGAAAAAGAGGTTCTTAATCTCAATGGGAGAAAAAAAAAAGATCCCAAAAGCTTTGTTCTCATGTGCTACAATAACATCATTCACAAGATCATACAACCATATATCATGGCAGGTACTTTGTTCTAAAGTCAGGGGGCTGGTGGAAACAGGGTTTATGGTCGACGTAGCATTTGAAGTGAAACATATTTATCCCCCAAGCCACACACTGCTGAGCGGAGCTGGCAGAGCTCCCCAGCAGCTGACATAGGACTCACCGGTCCAGCCAAAACAAAGAGACCATTATTTACCTTGTTCGATGGCCGCCAGGACACGCAGGTTCTCATCAGTCCTCGCTGCTAAACTAACATCACAGAGCAAAGAAAGCAGCAGTGGGATAAATGTGTTTTAGTTTGTTTTTTGACAGTTGTGACTTGTACCTGGCGGAGGATTTCAGGAAAGCTTCTCGACAGGAGTTCTGGATGCTGAGCTGTATATTGTAGTCGTTAAGTTCATCTTCGCTGTAGTCATCAGTGTTCATCTCTGAGAAAAGTTTAAGAAATCACATGTGCAGTATGTTGTGAGTCTATACAGTGCTTCTCTTTCATTCTGTTTATATCTATTATTATCTAAAAAAGACCAAATGCAGAACAAAGCAGAATTCATAGCATATTTAAAGCTAAAACAGCCAGAAACTTAGAGCTAGCTAGATATTAAATTGGAATCAACACTAGACTAGACTCTAAAGTAGCGGTGCCCAAACATTTTTACTCAGAGGGCTGAAATAAATATGCATAAGCAAGCAAATGTTATAATATGGTTGTTTTCTTGATAGAAAAAAAATTCTTTAAAATTATGTATGACATCAATGGTGAACTTTTGTCAATAGTGAAAATTCAGAATCTTAGGGCCACTAGACTTCTCTGGGGGATGATTTACAGATGAGGAGTTTTAACGCACTGCTGACTAGTTACAATCGTAACTTTGTAAATAACACGATTTACTCAAAGGAGGCAGATATTAACTGATCGCTTCCAGGTCAAGACTCATTTACTCATTTTGACAATAGGCGTGTGTCCTATAGGCACTAAATGTGGATGAAAACCTGTTCTGATGACAACATGGATTTCCCTGTATCTCCTAATGCCGTCTCTCTGCTGTTCACATAAACAAAATAGATAGAGCTGTGTCCAAATTCTTTCCTGTGCCCACGAAGATTCTTTCACAATCAAAAATATGTACATTGGCCGCAAGGAATTACGGAACTTATTTTTGCAAAAACATACTTTTTCCACATTCATGGTTATTGTTTCATAATAGTTCTATATCCAAAATTAAACATTGAGCATTATAAGAGCTTGGCTTTAAATTCTGGATTTTTAAAGAACAGACAGCGATCAGCTCACCATTCATTATCTTGAATCTACTCTACTTGCTGGACTGTTAAGCGCACCACAGCAAAACAAACTACTGTAAAAACTGATCACGTCATTGCGAGGTGTCTAAGTGCACTGTTTATTTGTGATGGATATATCTTTGTAAAAAGACAAACAAAACAATAAAATGTTTAGGAGGCAAAGTCCCTAACCCTTACCCTTGTGTTACATTGCTTACAAACCACAGTGAGGCCAAAAAAGTGAGGTATAGGAATTGATACACATGATGAACTCTAAAAGGTGCCCTTCTTGTCGGTGGATGCCAATGCTGTTCGGTGAGATGTCATTTTAGAGGACAATGTGTAATCAGTCCTATAATTACCTGACAATAGAGCAGGGTATCCCTGTCTTACTGTCACAGCTGGGAAGGCTTCTGTGCCTGCATTCCCCAAAGATTACATCCTAATGCTACTACTTCAAATACTTCTGCTTAGGTCATCTCAATTCATTAACAGTACTTACACAAATACATATTTCGGCTACTACTCCCCATCTCTGGTCATTAGTCACTGCACCACATGAAGCAAGGCTATCAAGCTACTGATAATAGCCACATAGGGGTTGTAAGGAAGGATTTAATTGTCTTTGGGGCATGGCAATATCAAGTTTTATTTTAACAAATGGTTGAGTGTGAAGCTTATTGAAGCAATCCAATAACTGTAAGGAATGTTGCCTCTTTGAACAGGCAGCATTCATTAATTACACGTCAATTACTCAAAAATAGTTTTACATTAGACTGAAACATAATACATATACTCTTCATACACCAAAGTATAAACAGCACTTTTGTTTTGTTTGTGGAATATAAATTAGACAGCATGAATAGTGCTGCAATAGTATGGGTGCTCTTCTCCTTCAATTATTGCAACACATCAGGTTGTAGATTGTGGTCAGTTTTTTTTTTGACCGCCACAATAAAGAACACAAATATTTCATTGTAATTTGGCAAATGCACACCTGATTTCTTGTTCTCTCTACCTCTATTCAGCATATTGGTATGTCATTGCCTCAGCAAAGATTAGGTGCTCAATGAAACATATTTACACAGGTTTGTGAAAATATCTGATAGAGATCTATTGAGAATATCTTCTGACATACAGTGTGTCTGGCACAGCATCATAACTAAAATCCTCCAGCTCTGTCAGTCTTGTCCAACTTGAGCATCAACATCTGGAGACCGGAGATGAGTAGGATTTTCACTGCTGCAACCACTGTAGTGGTTTACCTATTGGGACATTAAAGTCTTGACCATAACCTTTCATGGATCCAAAAATTAGAACCATTGGAAGGGAGATACTCATGCACATGTTTTGGTTTCTTTGTAAACGCTCAAACAAGTGTCTACACATCCAAGCAGCATGTTAGGTTGTGACTGTGTGAAATGAGAGAATTTGCATACTTATTTTGTTTTATTGTATTCTACTGGAATACATTTTTGAATGTTAGTTTAATTCTAAACGTTTGAATTGCCTCAGCCAAGCCACTTAATCAGTTCAACAATTCCACATGACCAAGCTACTTCACTATAAAGAAAGCTCATAATCTACTTTATAACAGGATTTTCATTCTAGTGATTATACAGCGTCAAATTGAATTGTGTTAAGGCATATGTATTCAGCGTAGATGGCCATAGATGGAGTTTTTAATACAGTTTTTTTTACAATGCTATAATAACAAAGCATTGGGCTACACCGCACAGCGGTCCTGGTTCCTGAGTCCAGGATCTACAGCCTGAGTCCTGGTTCTGCAGCCTGAGTCCCGGATCTACAACCTGTCCATCAGTGGGAACAGATCCCTCTCTTAATATGGGCTTACAGGTTTCTCAAATGTTAGAAACGTTCATACATTGGTCATCACGCTCCCAATGGACCAGTGGCTCCATGTGTACTTTCTTTCTATCTAATTTTATTTATATAGCATGGTAAAGCCAACTATCTCTTCTGTAAGTAAGTGCATTATCATCCCATCAGTTTGACAGAAGAGCCGTTTTAAACCTTAGAAAAAACAATCAAAAACTGTCTGTTAACGGATGAAATACGCGCCAACAAGAAGTCAGGACCTTGAGAAACGTAAGTGGCCCTTAAATGAAAGAGAAATGTCTCACCTGTGGAGTTATGTTGAAAGCACGTTGATGGCCCTGGTGTCTGGCTGTGCGCACTCCTCTTAAATTTAGGTTGACCTGCTTTCTGTCCCAGCGAGGAGCGTGTGGAGCACCACCTCTCCTTAAATACATACCCCCCTCACCGGCCCATTGTGTGCGGGCTAAGCCTGGTCTTTGGCTGCATTCCCACACTCAATCCTTAGGGGCTTACGCTTTACAGATGCGAGCCGCCATGCTTGTCGTCTGTGGCTTCGTGGAAAAAAAAATACAATCAATTGGGTCTATTTCTTTCTTGGAAATTTGAGATGACGTTTCATGAAGAGTTAAGCTGCTGTAAAGCCACGTTTATTCTTCCTCGCAATAACATTTTTTGGATGTTTCCAAGAGCTATGTTTCAGCTCTCATTATTAATTGTATTGTATTGGCTTATGATGAGATTTATTGTCGTGAATTGCGTTTAATATAGCACGTTCTGTCTTTTCAAAGAAACAGTTGCACCTACATTACATCAGTGATTCTCTACTTCAATCAATTGCGAGAGGGAGGGTTAGTTGAGATTTATGGTTTGTGCTGTGTTTTTCTGTCTGTACTGCATTTGGTAAGCCTTGGCTGTTTTAAATGTGCTCTACAAATAAATTGATTGATGGATTGATTAATGATTGTTTTAGTTTTTGGCCGAGAAAAAATAAGCAATACAGAATGATACAGTATATATTTTCTGAATGCTGTCATCACATTTATCTTTAGATAATACATTGGCTTTATAGAGCTTTATTGGACACTCAAAGATGCTTCACATGTCCTTATTCACTCCATACACGATGATAAACTACTACAGAAGCCACAGCTGCCCTGGAAGCAAGGGAACTAGTATGTGCAATCTGCCCCTTAGACCACCACCAACCATTCACGCACAACTCATTCTAGGCATTTTGGTTGTCTTGCCTAAGGACACATTATTAGGCCCTTTAGAGCCATAGCTGTTTGTGGCACAGTCTGCCGCATGCTCTCCCCCCTCCCATCACGTGTATCTTGTGTATGTTGCATTTTGATACTATTTGTAACTAATAATCTATTTATGTGTTTTGTTTTTATGAATGCATGTGTTTCTGCTGCTACTGGACACCTGAATTTCTCCTACGAGGGATCAATAAAGTATCTATCTATCTTTCTTTCTATCTACTGTATCTATCTACTCAACAGCAACAACAGTTACTCCTTGACAGTTTGTTTGTTAGTTAAATTATAGATTTGTGTAACTTTTTTCAGAAATTCTAACCGATTCTAACTGACGCTGACATTACCCATAGTTTTATCCTTAATGTGGAAGAGAGCCAATTTGAACAAAAGCTACCTGGAGCCAAATTCCTTAAATGGGCATTTTTCCACGGCATAACAGAGGCAGACGTGTTGCTAAAGGTGGTTGCTAAGGCATGATGGCGATTCTCCCACGCATCTAATTGGTCAATCCTCATACGGCACATATCTGGATCTACAAAGACAATATCAAAATTTCACAATTCACATAGGGAGCTAAAACACTTTTTTATTTTTTTACTCCAAAGGGGTGAGTGTGACACTAACAGTTACCGAGCTAACTTTGTCCATGAGCACTTCCCTATTCATTGAGCTAGCGGGATAAATTTGTTCATCTATATACAGTCTATTCTCAGGACCTGCCTGCTAGACATTTTTTTGCCCTCCAGCCTGCCACTTACAGTACATCCCAACTGATCACCTGCTGCTCTGGACTCCTCCCACTTGTTTTGCTATAATCTGGAACCGTCTCATCCTGAAAACGTGAGACAATCAGGTCTGTTTAGCTGTGCATGCAAATGAAGGATTGTATCTTCACTTATTTCAATGTTATGTGAATAATTATGATAATTTTCCCCCTTGTTTTTTTTGTCTCGTTTAGCACTTGGAGTTGCTTTTGCGTGAATTGTGCTATACAAACACATTTGACTTGCCGGTTGATGAGGTACCTCTAATCTCATGCTTCACAGCAGGGAGGGCAAAAACACTGGAATAATAGAACATTATGTGAATATGACATTTAATTATCAAGATTATGACTAGCTCTGTATCAATCTATTCTGATTTTTTTTATTTCCTCCCACCCCTAGTTTAAATGCGTCATACTTAATGGTCTTGGGCCTTCTTATCTTTCAGATTTGCTTTTATCCTATGAACCTTCCCGGCCCCTGCGCTCCTCCGGCAGCAGACTCCTAACCATCCCCAAAGTCAGGACACACACTCACGGTGAGGCATCTTTCCAGCACTACGGCCCCCGTCTCTGGAACAGTCTGCCGGAGGAGCTCAGGGCCGCAGAGAACGTTCATATTTTTAAAAGCAGGCTCAAGACGCACCTTTTTAGATTAGCTTTTGATTAGTTTTTACTATTTCATTTTATATATTCTATTTATCCTCTATTAGTTATTGTATTGCTATTGCTTTTATTCATGTATTGTGTGTTAGTTCATTTTAGTTTCATTTTAGTTTCACATTTTTGTGTTTTACATATTGTATTGTTATTGTATTGTTTTTAGTGTACCCAGTGTTTCCTCTGGAGGAGCCCTCTGCACTGGGAGCGGTGGTCGGCATGGCTGTGGGGGTCGGACTCTTGGACCTGGTGGGGGCCTGCGGCCTCGGTTTCGGGTCTCCTCTAGATCCTGTGTCGTCCCCTGTGGCTACAGGCGGCTCTCTGCTCCTGGTGCAGACGGCTCCTAGGATGACGCTTTTTCAACTGGTTGCATCCGAACCCTGCCAAGTCTCTCATCATTGTTTTACTGTTTTACTTGTGTGTGTGTGTGTGTGTGTGTGTGTGTGTGTGTGTGTGTGTGTGTGTGTGTGTGTGTGTGTGTGTGTGTGTGTGTGTGTGTCAGAGAGTGTGCATGGGAGCGTGTGTGTGTTTGTCTGTGGTTTGGGATGGGTCTGTTGGGTGGTCTTTTGTATGAAAAGCGCTTCATAAATAAAATGTGATTTGATTTGATTTGATACTTAATTGGCTTTTTATGTAAAGTGATTAAAGCCTAGTGAAACAAAAGTAGAGTGGCTTCAATTATATATCCACTCTTCTTTGCTTCTGGCTTAATATATATCAAGCCACAAGCAGGCTCTCGTTAACACTACACAGAATGAAGGCTGTTAAAGTGTCTTGCCCAAGGACACGGCAACAATCTAATGGAGGAGGCTGTATTTAAAGCCATACATGTCCTCAGATGAAAGCATGTATGGCAAAAAGTTGACGCCATCGCACTTCTAACAACTCAGGACAGCAGGATGATTTATGGACGTGGCTCTGTGCGTGCATAAAGTGTGTGTGTAATTGTGCAGAAAAGACTCGCACCACGATCGGCCTCGCCCTCCTGAGATGGGAGGAGTACCTGTTTGAGAGGTTTACGTAGAGGCCCGGTCCCTACACTGATCCAGTGGGAGCCAGCAGATGTCCAGCTGAAGATTAGTGCGGCTTTGTGGGGGCCAGCGTGTCTCCTGCGCAGGGTCTCTCTGAAATAGCTGCAACATAAAGCCCCTATATTGCCATTAGTGTAAACACAGGCAGGAAGTAAAAAGGCTTAAAATACAACAAAGATTTTTATCCCCTTTCACACAACCCTTTAAAGTTGACATCTGTCCAATCTGTACTGTAACTATAAGTGGCATGTATGGATGGCAGGGTAACGTCGTGGTCAGGACAAACTCATACTGACCTTGGGTTTTATGATCCATATGCATTTATCCAGGGATGTGATTCTAGTATGTGCATAACTATGTAATATAGTCACATAGGCCTATTAGCATTCTTACATAGTAATTTCTTTCTTTATATTTTTTTTTACACGTTTAGGGGAGTATGAAAAGCAATAAAGTGTGTATGATAGAATTGTTTTAATGCCATATACTTTGATAGAATGACACTTGCTTACAATCCCCAGCTTATGACATCAATCACAACCGGGAAGTAAAATTATAAAGCCAAAAACTAATTTAACACACTCTATACATTTTCTGTGGAGCTCAACTGTCAATTCTCATTATGAAATCTAGACTTCATGAACTTCTATGAAATCGTATGATCACCTCACATCGAAATAGGAGCAGGCTTTGAAGAGTGTGTGGGACCATACAGTTGAATTTACAAAGTGCCACAATGTAATTACATATTGTGGAGTTGTGGTCATCATGCATCATCTAGTCAGACTTTTAAATTGAATAACTGTACTTAAAGCAAAACTGTTTATCTGGGATATTGCATGTACTATTTGTAAATATTTATGTCTTTTTTTCTTTCTTTTTTATCAAAAGAAGCCAAATCCGTTTTCAGATGTGATGCCTTAAAACTGTACACAGAGGGGATTTTCCCAACCGATTTAATTAGATAATTTGATAAATGTGATATTTTTGGGGCGGTTGTCACGTGGCTTGGTTGCTATGGAATCCTGTAAACTGTGGCGTTGCTATGGAGCATTGCTAACGCTGCATAACCTAATGGTTAGCATTAGGTTTTCTTTCAGAGCTTTTAATAATAACAGAATCAAAAAAACAATTCTACCCGTTGTGGATCATCGATTGGGGAAAGCTGTCAACTCGGTCTTAGGTATTGCAATTTCAGAGAGAAAACTTGTTAGCTAGCAAATTCGAAGTCACATTAGCATAGTGAAAGATTGCATAATAATGTCAGAGGAAACCACGCAAACTATGGAGCAAACGGAAAGCCACAAACCGGAGATAAAAGAAGCAGAAACCGTGGTAGAAAATGTAGTAGAAAACACACCCGCAGCCGAAGTGAGGTACTCAGATGATCCGCCAGAGGACGACATAGTGCAGCTGCCGCAGCGCGCCACCTGCAGCGGCCAGCTCACAGGTAACTAATGCTATCACGCTTGCTAACTTAGAAAAACCAACAACGTGCTCAACTTCAAGTGATATTTCGAGTAAGATAATTGAAGAAAATGAAAAAGTCCGCGATTTTGTTCAAAGTGTCACCTGTTGCACTTCCACTGCAACAGGTGAGCTACAATCTCTAAATACTATTACTACTGTATATTAAAAGGATGAAGTCGCTTGTCATCTTGATACTACTACTCAGATAACTAGGTTAAGTACTAACAAACTACAAAAAGTACATTTTTACTTAAGTACTGTACTTGAGTTTTTCTTGTGTCAGTACTTCACTTTACATTTCTTATACAAATAAGTAATTGTGGTTAACCATGCCTCTAAGTTAATTCAATAAAATTGGCCATGTTTCTAAGTTCATAAATTTACTGTGGGTAGTCTTGTTTCTGTGTTCATGAATCCCCAGTGGTCAGCCATGCGTCCAAGTTCTGTAATTATGTGTGGTTAGCTATGCTTATGAGTTCAGTAGTATGATTCAACCAATATCAATTAGGTTTTTTGATCACATTACTTACTTACTTACATTAGATCACATCAACAAAATAAAACACATAAAATAAAAACACTACAACGCACACACACAGGTGCAGGACAGTAATAACATGATATATGCCTTGCCACTACCAATATAAATGATTACTGTACTTATTTTTAGACAAAAGGGGATTGGACTGTGTGAGGCCTCATCGTAGCCCCCTCTTTATTAGTGAGGATATGGATTCCAATTGAATAATAACATTGTCTTCTTATTTTCTGAGCAGTAGAAGAAGCTGAAACTCAAGCTAATCTCCCCGAATCCACTGATGAGCCAGCGGCAGGGTCCAGTGGCAATGTCGGAACTTCCACTGCAACAGGTGAGCTACAATCTCTAGAGCATTGTGCCATTCTGTTCCACGTTTTGAATGTTGTTTATGGCTGCAGTGAAGGTGGTCCTCGTGCCTGGGGGCCATGTGATGACTGTCGCCTTTGCCATCGGGCTGAGCATTGTAGAGCTAAAGCAGCATCTCGCCTCTGAGCTGAGAGTGCCACCTCAAGTGCTGCATGTCTTTCTTGACGGTAAGATAATAGATTATGAAAGCGTTTATCTTTTCCCTGAGACGTTTTACACCATTTCATTTTCATACCAGTCAAAGTTGCCGCTGAGAAAATGAAAAACTATAACGATAAAAGCAGTACAGCTGGGAGGCATGGTGGCTGAGTGGTTTGGACTCAGCAAGGGATAAATTGCACCTCCAGACAGGGCCTTTCTGAGTGGGATTTGCATGTTCTCCCCGTGTCCATGTAGTTTTCTTCCGGGTGCTTCTGTCTTTGTCTCTGAAATGGGGAATCTACGAGAGACACAGCAGATCATCATCTAACACAATAGATAGATAGAAAATAAATACAATTACAATAGGCAATGGAGAAGATTGCAAACTTTTACACAAAAGTGCATCGGTTTTATATAGCGCTTTTTTGGACACTCAAAGACGCTTTTCATGTCATTATTGTTTTACTCTATTCAAGATGGTGGACCACTACTGTAGCCATAGCTGCACTGGGGCACACTGACAGAAGTGAGGCAACCAGTATGTGCCATTGGGCCCTCTGACCACCACCAACCATTCACACACACACACACCAGACTCATTCTAGGCAATGGGGGTGCCTAAGGACACAATGGCAGTTTGGCACTTTACAGCCGCAGTCACCCCACTGTGGCATCAGGTGTTCCCAGAGGTTAAGTGTCTTGCCAAGGACACAACGACAATCGTTGGTGAATGTGTTGAGGTGGGCTCGAACCCACGACCTTCTGGCTCAAAGGCCAATGCTCTTTCAACTGAGCTATTGTTGCCCCACAAGCCAATTTATCAGACTTCCACCTGGATTCATCCTGTTAAGAGCGTTAGAATGAGTTATGACATGAACATTTGGAGTAGCTGAAATCACCTGATGATGTTTTTTTATGCATGCATATAGTGGTAGAGCAGATAACATTGCAAATGTTTGTCTCTGCTTTGGGCGAGTGATGTCATCATCTTTTGCGTCTATCAATACAGTTACTCATCGGTGTTTCGCAGCCGTATGTTACAGTGATTGTACAGCTTTTGACAGCTGCAGCAGCGCTCAAACCTACAACCAACAGGTTTGATATCTGCGCAATAGCACTTCAGCAGTTGTGTTCAGGTGGTTAGAAAAGTGGATAAAGTGTGTAAGGGGTTTTGCTGCCATAAAACATTGAACTGCAACTTAGCGTACTTAGCTAATTGTGGGTTATTTTTTAGAATTTGTATAACCCTCACAATAAACAAGGGACCAGTGTAATACAGTAGATGCGTGGATTGTATCACATCAGTTGAATTCTGTAGCATGTCTATATTGGCTAAAATAATGTATGACAAAATGAGTTGGCTGAGCCGAGCTGGTAGGTTTGAACGAATCAAAAAATCGTAAAAATGTTTGAGAAATTCTCAGCCGTAATTCTAGCGAAATTGGCCAAACAATAGTATATTAGACTCGAGAATATTTTTTTGTATTAGGATTTTACTCTCTTTGTTTCAGGGCAGGTTGTGGAAGACCAGCAGACCCTCATGGATCTCGGCGTCCAACCTCACAGCTCCACCCGGATGGAGATGAGCTCGACTGACCCACACATGTATCCTCTGCGCCCTGTCCGCCCCCCTGACCACGACGACATGGCCGACGTCATCACCGTGAGGGTCCAGAGGGGAGACCAGAACCCCACATCCTCTATGAGTATGATGTATAGCCTGTTTTTTATTCAGGCTTGGAACTTCAGCACTTTTCCTGTTAAACTAAAAAAAACTGTTCAATATTGGATGATTTTCCAAAATAGGTGTGAACATACCTCTTCATTAGACAATCCATATAAAAAAATAATAAATGTTCTACCTTAGTAAGCTCTTAAACCTTGTCCTCTAACCAAATAAAAGATCATTTCCATTTCTAGTCCACATGTACCGGAGAAAGACTCTTTGTCCTCCAGCCAGGATACCACTTGAAACATAAATAATGCGTTTTGTTTGACCCAACAGAAAGTATCTTGTAAAAGTAAGATACTGAGGGTAAATCAATTTCATTTGAAGCTTTTGCATACATGTAAGATTGGCTAAGTGATAATGCACCGGTTTAATAAAGCGCTTTTTTGGACACTTAAAGACTAACATTATTAGTGGTGATAAACTACCACCACTGTAGCCAAAGCTGCCCTGGGACACACTGACAGAAGCGAGGCAACCATTATGTGCCATCCGACCTGCAACAACCATTCACAACAGTTTGGCACTTTATGACCAACACCACCGCACTGTGGCGCCTGGTGTTCCCATAGGTCTCTCATCACAGTACTAACCAGGCCCTGACCTACTTAGCTTTACAGGTATTTTCCTATTTTACATTTTCTGTCCGATTTAACTGATCTGAAGGTGTGCCAGGTGTTAAATTTTTTTATGTTAGATACCCGAGCTTTAACTTATGTTTGGATAAATTACAATTATTCCTTCTCATTGAACAGAGCTGTCTATCTCCCAAAACCTCCTTGAACCTCTTTGAATGTCTTTAAAAATACCTTAAGTACTAAACATTTTATCTTCATGTCTACATACAGATGATTTCCAGGAGGTGGTGGTTGAGATCCAGCGTCCCCCACAGAGGAAGCCTTTCCTGGGTGGATACAAGCATCGTTTGACGGGAGCTGTGTACCACCACGCCAGCACACAGACTCATCCCCGCAGGAGGCCAGGACGAGGGGTGCAAGTCTTCAGCCGCGACACACAGGCACGGAGCAACACACACAATAGGGCTGCACGAGTTATCAACATGTTTGTGGTTGCATTTAGACATTTACAAAGACTGCAGATATTTTAAGGTCTTTGCAAACAAAACCGGGACTCAATATAAGCAAAACATCTCTTTCAATTCAATTCAAATCATTCTTGTATAGCTCTAAATCACAACAGCAGTTATCTCATAGGACTTTACAACCTAGTCAAGACCTCAACAACAGATTGAGAATCAAATGGTCGAACTCAGAAAATGCAGTATTAACACATTGGTCCATAGAGAGCGGATGACCACTGTCCATCAATGTGTATAAATGTCCCGGATCATCACATCATCACTGTCCTTTGACCCTCCTACATCGGCCAAAAAAATAAAATAAAAAACTGGGTAATAAATGTGAGACCCACAGCGAAAGGATTTTGGAGAATCTTTGTAACCTTTGTCTTTGTGGTCAGAAGATTTATTTTCTCATCCAAAATTGGGCATCTAATATTTGTCCTTACATATATATTTATTAGTCGAAGCTGTCAAAATTTACTATCAAATGTATTAGCAGTGAATCTTTTATTAGTACAAGGAAAATAAGTGGTTTTACTTTATAACTCAGAAATGTGTGGGAATTGTGTACAAGATCATCACTTCATTTGTACACTTTTTAAACTCTCTTTAAGTTGTTATTTTTAATCTTAACTATGCAGTTAGTATGAGGGGTTTTCACACTGACCAAAAACCGCCCTTTCCATTCACACATTGGGCTTACAACTCGCTCTCTGAAAATTGCAGGTCTACCGTGTGAAAATGGATATTATCGCAAAAAGAACAATAATAGCAACAATACAAAATTAGACTTTTTGAACATACTGGACTTGTATCCAAATCTCATCGCATTGTCAAAAATATTACAATTACCGGTATATATTTTGCCAAGATTGTGCAGCTCTAATACACATGGGCATATAACGAACAAGTATTTGTGATCGTGGCTGACGGAAGGTTTGAAGCAGAAGAAAGTGGTGTGTTTAAAGGTCAAAGTGTCCGCAGTGAGAAGTCAACCTTTTGAGTTCCCAGTATTCTAAGACTGAGAATCACAAGGTGGAAATGATTTTTTCTTACATTGAGCAGCAAGGGAAAATGGTGCAAACGTGTACATCCTAATCAGAGATACAGAGAGCAGCGGTGAGACATATGCCAAGCCTTTGTTTGTTATAATGGGCTTTTAGTCTGTTTAAAATGTTCACGTTTTCTGAGTTTTGCTTGAGGTTTATACAAGCTGTGTGCCGTTTATCAACACTATAACAAATAAAAGCTTGACAGTGGTCCCTGGTTTAGGGGATACAAAATAAGGTTAACTTGTAAAATGCGAAATCCGACAAGTTGTAGCTATATGTTTTACGGCTGTAAAACCCTTCAACACACTCTTTATACACTAATCTCCAATCCAATCCAATCCAATCCACTTTATTTCTATAGCATATTTAAACAACAGAACAGTTCCAAAGTGCTGCACAAAAAAGTACACAAAAAATAGAGTAAAAAATAAAAAAATAAATAATCAATTTATAAAATCAATAAAAATCTAATCTAACTATCTGAGAGATCAAACCTGTTTGTTGTAAGTCTGAGCGATGCTGCAGCTGTCAAAAGCCGTGCATACACTGTAAAATACAGCTGCAGAGGACACAGCACTGAGGGGCAGGAGCAGGACTGAGGGCCACGGGAAGACATTGTGCACACAAGCCGCAAAAGTTAAGAAAAAAAAATGCTAATTGTCATTTTAAACTAGTGATTATTTGATGTTGTTGGAGTATACACACAGCGCATGAACTGCATTATAGTCAGGGACCACAGAATAATAGAAGTAAATGCACTTTTGAATGTACATCTACCTCCTGTAAGTCATGCCTTTGTAAATGAAGTTCTTTGGATCTACTAGTTATGATCAAACTCAATAACATTACCAATTTAAAATCCCAGGAAACTATAAAACCAGGCCTCTATCTGATATTAGCCTATAAGAGGTTCAGCCACAATGGTGCGACTGTTTACGTACCATTAGGAGCTTGTGTTACTGCTTTCACCTTCAAATTACACCAACCCCACCAGCGGAAACATCACTAGTAACACATTTCTCATCCATTCCACTTTGAAGAACATTTCTTGGATGTTTGACGATGTTTGTCTTCACGAGAGAATTTAACAAGCAATCTATTTCAAGAACTGTTTGTTCCGAGTGATCCGATAACCCTGTTGCACAGGGTTATTTCTCACTTATTATTTTCCACACACATGCACCACTGCAATATCCTTCTCATTGTTTCTCAACCAATTTTCTCTAATGTCAAAATAAAGCACAGCATACTTATGTTTTTTGTCAACTAAAGCTTTTGACTGACTACAAGATTTTTTAACGAAACTGAATCAGAAAATCCACTGCATTGTATTGTCCTGTCCCGTCATGCATCCCACATGTCAAACAAAACTTCATATAAAATATACAAGTAAGTTGAAGCTAAAATAGTGTTGAAATAGTGTTTTGATTTTGGATTTGCCTTTGAAAAATCATTGAACAGACAGGATTCTAAAGACCTTTGGAAAATAACCCACAATAAACTACATTTTTTAAGCAACAGCTATACGTTTTAAGGCTGTAAAACCCCTCACCACACACTTTACACACTTTTTTAAACACCTGATCCAGATCTCAAAACATTGCGATAGCAGGTATATCAAAACTAAAAAAATTGTTGTTAGTTTGAGTGCTGCTGCAGCTTTCAAAAGCTGTGCATACACTGTTAAATACAGCTGCAGAGGACACAAGCCATAGTTTCAGGTGTCGAGTAGCAGCAGAAACACCTCCATTCATACAAACAAAACAGAAAGTTCTAAAAGTAGCTAAAAATAGTATTCAAATGCAACAGCACTTTAGTTCACAGCAGCAGAGGTGGTGCAGCCGCTTGGTTCAAACCATTTTCTCTGCTCTAGTCTAAAGTGAAAACCCCATGTTATATTAGCAGTTATATAATGTTGTATATGATGCTGTTGGACTGTATGGAGTGTTTATATTCTTTCAAATTTTCTTGGGAAAAATCCTGACCAGTGAAACCAATTTCTCATTGCAAGGTCTTAAGGGTAGCTCCATGTTTATGTCTCGTGCCACCCCCCTGTGCCCTCATTATTTATCAAACATAACTTCTTTATTTTCTCTTCTCGCTTCTGCTTCCTCCACATTTCCCTCAGGGTCATGGGTCACAGGATTTAGCGTATGATGCCACTTGCTTTTTCCACACAGAGCAGTAGATTATTTCTAAGTTTTATATTAAATAAATGTCTTACTTTAAACTGTTGAAAGAATAAATATTACACATGATTTTTGTCTATTTAAAAATGACAATGAGACAATACAGGATATTTGTAATTTCATGCTAGAATGTGAAAGAATATCTTCACTGAACAAAAACATGGGGAAACAAGAATCAAGAGCAGCACGGTGGCAGAGAGGTTAGTACCGCAAGAAGGCCCTGGGTTTGAATCTCAGTCGGAATAGGCAAAGGAGAAAACTATTATTGCCGATAATACCAGCAATTGAAGTGCCATCCGAGGAGCCATCCGCACAGGACCAAGAGTAGAGGCTCCAGTCCTATGCCTATGCCTCCACTCGAGGGAGGTTGGAGCATAATAACTTGATTTGTAATTAAACACTAAATGCATTTGCAACATCCTGTCCTTTCTAAATATATTCCATTCAACACATTTGGAAAACAGTTAAAAAAAACACCTGGCATCATTTTCCATGCGAATGACTGGGAGACACTGATGACTGCTCGGCTGCGCACTGACGTTCATACTGTATATAAACGCGTACATGTGTGACTAATGAGAAATCTGTAGCCCTGTGCTGCATTGCCCACTGACCTGTCACCAATAACAGCTGCTTTTATTGCTTCATTACACTGGCAGCGGCCTGGAGGACAGCAATTCCATTGAAGAGAAATTACATACGGCAAACATTCAGTAATGACGTTTCTTCTTTGTTCTGAAATAAAATCTGTCCTGCTTATTCACGTCATTCATTGAACGAGTATGTAGAGAGAGTGTCACAATATGACTATTTACTGTATATTTAATATAAAAAGTTAATTTTGTTTTAGAAGGTTATTTTGATAAGACAAAGATTTTAAAGAAGCTATTACTGCTTAGTTCCCTGACATGTTTGGTCGGTCGACTTCCACCTTCGTCAGAGGAGACACGTGATGGTGGGATGTGTCTGATCAGCTGTTACTGGACACGGACAGTCTGACTGATCCATCAGACTGACCACTAGGGGTGGGAACCTAAGGGTACCTCACGATACGATACGATACACAATACAAAGCTCACGATAATGATATCATCACGATAACGATATCACGATAACGATTTTATCACAATATGACGATTATCAATATATTGGTCAGAAATATACAATATGCCAATTTATGGCATAAATAAAAGAAAAAATACACTTTATTTCATGATAAATGGAATGGAGATGCGTAATGTAGCCATATATTAAGTATTGATACCAATTTTAAAAAATGATTTGAAAATGATTTTTTTTCAAAATCATTGATACTTGGCAAATGCATATCGATAATCGAATCGCAGGAGAAAGTATCGCACACCCCTACTGACCAGGGCAGTGAGTCCCAAATGTGAGCCGATTTGGTTCACACTTGGCTCATTAAGTAGGCAATGCACATTGAGTATTTTTTTTTTAAATATAGTAATAATGTCCAACAGCACTTTAGGTCACAGCAGCAGAGGTGGTGTAGCTGCTGGGGGCATTTGGTATTAGCATTTCAAAACAAAAATAATAATCTTCCAGTGGATTTCCACTTGATCTGCCTGGATGTGACCATGCATCCTCTCTGCTCTGGTCTGGATCAGTATAAAACCATGAACTCGGTACTGCAGTAAACCTTACAGATAGAAAAATGCAAGAAAAATAACGATTACAAAGCTCAAAACAACAGCTGTTTCAAAGCTACTTAGAACTTGCTGCTGGGTCTGGGGGGTGGCAGTCAAAGCTGCACCCAGTACACAGAGCTCCAGACCCTCACTGATCCTCCTGCAGGAGGTAGGTCCACAGGAGGAATGCTGCTCTAGTGTGGGCTCCCTTAATCTTTCAGCGGGGGATTCGGGCAAAGTGGGGTTTAGTGTCTTGCCCAAGAACACAATCACAGTAGACATCCGTGGGAGTCGTGAAGTAGGTCTTATGGTGAGCTCAAACCTCGACCTTCAGGCGCAAAGGCCAATGCTCTACCAACTGAGCCACTGTTGCCTCATTCCTGATCATCATCACATAAAGGCAAAAATAAATGTGTTTACAAGGACATGATTTCAACTTTATAGACAGAAGTTTATTTGAGACATAATCTGGTCCAGCTGGCATGTCACAGAGCCTCATGTTCTCGGCCTGTGGGCCACAGGAGATAGTTGTTGCTATGTTAATGAGAGTCTGGACCCTGCTCTGTGCGGTGCTGGGAAGGCTGCCCCCTGCCAACAACCATAGTGCCTCTGCAGACAGAATCAACACTTTTTCAGTTGATTATGGTTTTGTTAGTTCCGAATAATGCCTTGCACTTTACAGGCATGTTGAAGTCTCTAAAAGCACTGAAGTCTGAAGAATTACATTTTTGTATAGCCTCAAATCACAACAGCAATCGTCTCAGAGGACTTGACAAAGTCAGGTTAGATCAGAGAATCACAGGAAATACAATAATAACAACCACATAGAAGCCACTGGTCCATGGAAACCAGAGCACCAAGATTAGAAGAAACATTGGAAAAAAAGGCCTTGGTCAAAAAGGGTGTTTTTCTATATCATAGATTTTTTCCACCCAAATGCTATCTTAACAAATGAATAAACTATATAAGCCTATGACAAGAGTATACTGTATTTTGGAGGTTTCCCGAGCTAACCCTTGATGCTTGTGTTTCAGACAGTGGAGTTGAAGTCCCAGACTCAGCAGTGTCCGGCAGACGTCAGCACACAGATGACTGGGATCGGCTGTTACGTCTCCTGTGCCAACGACAAACTGCTGACCCCCGGAGTCTACACCACAGCAGCCGACTACCACCAGCGCCGGCTCCGGGCTGTACGTCATGAACAAGTCCAAAGGAGACACAAAACACATTGAGAAATCAATCACAACATAATTAGAGTTGTTTTTATTAGAGAAGATAATTGAACTAAATGTGTTTTCAAAAACTCCCTTGTTAATAATAATACAGTCAAAATAACTGTGTAATGCTGATAGCTTTTAGTAGCAATTTCTTTCAACTTCTTTGCGTTACCATAAATACAGCTCGCAAAGGCAGTTTTTTTTTTCTTCACCTTTTTATTATTTTTTCTAGTTATTGCAATTAGAAAAAAATAAACCAAAAAAAGAAAATTCACTTGTAGTACCTGATAACGAGTGTTTCCCTGCACACAGATTAAGAGCAACTATTCTATGGATTTAGTTAGTTAACCTTTGTCATGTGATTGCAATTCTCTTAATTTTGTCCAGATTTTAAACTATTTCACCACAGAAGCGCTCTCACCAAAGTACCGTAATAGCTGGACTAAAACCCGCTACTTCTTAAGTCCATTGAACTATGCAGCCGAAATAGCTATAAGGCCAATGTATGAGCAGGGGTGTCAAACTGGTTTCAGAGAGGGCTGAGCAATCCAGACTCCACCCATTTCCTCAAGTCTTCAGGTTAAGACTGGACTCACTTGAGAACATGTTGGACTGAAATCCTACAGCCACACCGCCCCTTTGAGGACCGGTTTGACTCCCCTGTGGTCGAGTATCCCCTGGAGCGCAGAAAGGGATTTGGACACAGCTCTATCAACTGTTTATGTTTATGTGAACAGCAGAGTGAGCCAACATGGGGAGATTAGGGCTGAAACAACTAATCGATTAATCGACGACTAATCGATTATTGAAATAGTCGACAACTATTTAAGTAATCGATTAATCGTTTTCTGGTTCACACGGACTCAAACAGAGCAAAAATGACATGAAAATGTAGTATTTTTGATTAAAACCGACTTTGTTTTTATAATTTCATGAATATCTGTCTGTCTCATCCAATCAGATAGCAGAATTAGCACAAAGAGCCTGTTACAAACATTTACTTTAAGTTTACGCCATCAATACGTCCTCGAGTGTTGCCACTTTAGCTTTTTGTGATGACATTTTTTTTTTTTTCTACACAATTTACAGCCAAGCGATTACTCGATTAATCGTAAAAATAATAGATAGATTAATCGATTACAAAATAATCGTTAGTTGCAGCTCTAGTTGCAGAGACATGCACAGTACTTGTTTTTATGTGAATAGGGCTGTCGTAAAAGCAGAGGACCCATTGTTTTGACTCTAACAAGTTTTTGTAGCAGGGGGTTGCATGTTCATTTTCAAAAGCTACCAATCAAAACTGTCGTCTCTCGGCTTTGTTTTTCTCCTTCAACTTTTTGTGAAGTGTTAAATACAACATCAAACTTTGAGGTTATTAGCAAGTGCAGCCTTTATGTTTACACAATTTACTTTCATTTGCTGGAGCGGAATAGTCCAGCGAGTCCTGCAGATAGAAAAGTGATGTCATGTTTACTTGAAGACTGTGTGCTCTCCACAGGTGATCTGCCTGCAGGCCGCGCTTCGCTGCTGGCTCGCCAAACAGGCTGTGGGACGTATACGGCACGACAGGGACCGGAGGCTGGCCTGGCTGGAGGCGCAGGAGATGCGGAGGAGAAAAGAGAAGGAGGAGCAGCTCCGGGACAGAAGAGAGCGCTGGAGCAACCCCCAGAGGAGAGATGACTTCAACCTGCTCTACCACGCCCTGGAGAGTAAGAGCGGGCTGTGTGTGTTAGGACACAAACACACAACCTCTTGCTTTTGGATTGTCGTGTCTCAAAAACAAACCTGGTTGATTTTATCCATTCACACTAACATCAAGAACTTCTGGCACAAACATGTAACTCCACCCCTTCAGTCAAAAAGCTCGTGTCTCAGTCCTGTAATTGTACAATGTCATTTTACAACTATGACTTCACGCTCAGAGCAGTTTTATGCATTTTTAAAAGAAAAGTATTGCCCTTGAAGTGGTTTTGACCATTAATGAGGTGAAATAAAGTTTTATTACATCAGAATTCAGCTCCTTCCTCTAGTGGTAGCATTGGTCAGGGACCCATTTGTTGACCTTCATACTTTTTTTGCCATATTTTTTCTACTAAATATTTCAAATTCCAAAACATGAAATATAAAGTAAATTGTGTCATTATTGATTCAATGGCCAAAACATAATACATCATATTTCTACTTTCCAATCAGAATAAAAACAGGTATCCTATTATTAATAAAACTGGAATTAGTCATTGCATATATTGACTTGAGCAAGTCTTTGCATTTGAAATATAACTATTGGTAGATAACTTATGCATTACAAATGATAACTTTCTGCCCAGCTTGGCGAAAACACGAGGAGCAGCTGATCAATGCCAATCTGAAAGGAGCAGAGAGGAAGGCCGCTCTCTGCACACTGTTGGACCAAGAGCTGGAGCACATCAAGAACATCGGACACAGACTCGTCCTGTTTCACAAAACCAGCGCTGAGAGGGGCATCATGAGCTTTCTGGACAAGGTCAGGAGTCACAGTGACACAGGTGCACATCAAGGACTCAAGGCTGCAAAAAGTTCAATTTGTGAATTATACGGTTCTGAGTTTTAGACTCATAAACAATGACTTGGTTAAAGCAGTTTACTTTTCAATGTAAATCAATAAGACTTTGTCCATGAGCACCTCACTATTGGGCTTCATTGAGCTAGCGGGTAAATAATAATAATATCGGTTTTATATAGTGCTTTTCAAAAACTCAAAGACGCTTCACAATTCAGGACACACATACATACACATTCAGACAGACACACAAAACTAAAAGTCTAAAAGCAGGAAAGTAGAGAGTAATGCTGAAACTAAGCGAGCATAACTGTAAAAGCTACTTTGTTCTCATAATCCTTCAAATACACAGGTTTCAAGAATACAAACAGTTTGCCTTTTTACGAAGACTATTGCTCATGTTACTGAAATGAAATATTAAATTCAGTTTTATGACTAAAGCTTGTCTTTAGTCTATTTCCCTGTATTTGTGTGTCTCTCTGCTGTTCACCCACACACACGGGAAGCAGTAGCCGCAAAGTTTAAATAACTTTAAAAAAGTAGAGGCATATAGTCCAATAATTGATGTACACTTTTTAGTTTTTGCCTTTTCTTTGATGTAACCAAGCATACGAGTCTGGAATCTCTTTTCAGATACGTAATTTTTTTTTGCCATGAGATTAATGTGTGAAAGCTGAATGTCACAATTCAAAAAAGTAAGACAAGGATGGACGGCTGTCATTTCATTACTTTTTTTTAAAAAATTAAAAATTTTGAGCTAGTAAGTGGGCATGGAAATAATTAGTACAAATTAATCACAAGAAACGTTGGTACATTTACAAAATATAACAAAAAGAGTAACAACAGAACACTTATGGATGCTTCAAGCTAACAATCCCTTGGCTTTGTGCTCTTGCAGTCTGCAGCCCCTTATCACTGGAAAACGGAGAAAGGAACGCTACTGGAGATGGACACGGTGAACACCATCAGAGCCAGAGAGCTCAGAGATCTTTACAACGACGTCAGCGCATCACCGGCCCAACAAAATGACCGGCTGCAAGTCCTCATGACGCTCAAACACACTGTCAAGGTAAGGTCATTTTAAACAAGGCAAGAATAGTTTCACATACCATAATGCCGGACTAAAATTTTCTACTAAAGATTAAATATATTTGTATTCAATCTTTAATTCAGACACACAACAAGTCCATATAACACAGAAACAGACAACAAAAATACAGACAAAAAACACACACTATTTACAAAATTCTGTAAAGACAGATTCTTCATTGCCTCCAGAGTTCAGAAGTGTGCCTAAAACTGCTCTGCACATGAGAAGTAAAAACATTCATAATCTCATTAAAAGAGTCCTCGAGCGTTTTGTGAACTTATAAAGTTTCTGTTCACAGCATTCAGTGTGGGGACATTATTATGAACAAACAGAGAGCTGGCACTGGTCCAGCGGGAGACTTACAGTAAAAGTTTTAAAGGTACACTCTGTAGTTTTTACTCCCATCTACAGTTGAGATCATATATTGTAATTCACGGTACTACGGTGGCTTTGCAGGACAATATGTCGTCTTTGACAGTGGTCCCCAAATCCCAGTGAAACTCTGTCCCTTTGTCCCTTATCAACCACTGTATTTCAAGATGGCGCATTGACATGGAGAGTCTCCCAGCCTCATGGACATTTATTAGTCAAATTCTAAGCCTATGACAACAGAAACATGGTGGAGATTAATATTCTTATAAAGGTCACATTTGTCATTGGTTAACATGTTTTTTCATTTGGGGCAACTGTAAAAATTACACAGAGTACCTTTAAGTGCATCATTGTATGCAACCTGCAGCTTCTTAAACTACTCTTACAGTATAGAGCAGTGTGCAGTATAGGCTTGAAAACAAAGTTATTTTCACTTTGTCTGTGCACATGTGGAATCTCCTCGTGTTAGCCTGTCCATACAGCTTACTGAATGTCATCATCATTGAGGTCACTCCTGATGACGAGCCCCAGGTATTTTACCTTCTCCACCTTCATTAGCTCCACACCTGACAAAAAAGGCAGGAGAAAGTGTTCTTCAGGTGTTCTTTGTCCTCACCACCGTTACTAAAGACTTCATGGAGTAAACACTGCGTTCTAAATAGCGATGCTGCCAATAAATGTATTTTTATTTTGGTTGATTATCTCCTACGGCGCAGGTAGTTCAGGGAAATAAATGAATACACAGGACTATAGTTTTAATGTGATTATGGCTGTTGTCAGAGCTGAATTATGGACTCATTATTTTGACTCCTTCCAGGTGTAGTAGCTGTATGTTGTATGTTTATTGTCAGGATAGATAGGTAGATGAGTCCCAACATGGAAACTCACAGTTAATGTTGGCCTCCTCAGAGCTCATTGGGTTATTTCCCAGAATTCTTTGCCCGTAACAAGTCACCAGTGCCAGTTGCAACAGATGTCAATTGGTTTATTTTGCTCAATCAGCTGTTGGTTAAGTGTTAATTTCATATCTACAAGTGTTCTTTCTTTTAAAATTGAGTAAGTGGGATTTATATACAGGCAGTACTGTACTTTACAAAAGGTTTAGGATACTGCAAAGCAAAGCAATACACTGCTCCCTGAGACAAATGTTTTGAAAAGTGAAATTTTTGTACCCCAGCTTTAAATGAATAATAGCAACAGTATTTCGACATTTGTAATACATTCCTACCGAAATGGCTTTGTGTGAAAGAAATATCAAAATCTAGAGATAGTGGAATGAAGAGACAATCCATTGTTCAATCATATATTATTACATTTTTTGGGTCCAAACTGCTGTATGGTATTCCAAAAAAACAAGTAATATTCTTCTCGGACAGGAGCACGACTGTCAGCTGACGAGGGACTTGGTAGATTTGGTGGACAGAGAGGTGGATCTCATGAGCCGCTGCTCCAAAGCCTCGAGTCTTGACGGACTGAGACAGCGGATCAACACTCTGCTCCTCCAGTACATCAAAACGCCTGCATTTAACCCACAAGTTGCTAAGCTGCTCAAGGTAAGCCCCCCGGAGCTGCGAGAGACTGCAAAGAATGTTATCGCTTACATCATATCGACTGAAAAGACCATTTCCCTTTACTTTTCTTTGCCCAGAATAAACAGGAAAGTTCAACAATGGTTTATTAAGGGCTTTTTGTGCGAGAAATGTTCAGCTTGAATTCCTGAACAGAAAATAGCCGTGGGCATGTTTGAAGGGGTTTAATGAGCGTTTGCCACCTGTGTTTTACCCTTAACCATGTAGTAGGAATGGACTGACCCAGTGTGACATCACCACAGTGCTAGCCTTAAGGTGGGAAATGCTGATTTGAACATAAGCTAGCTGCGCCATAACAGGGGCAGATGTGTTGTCAAGGCTGTTGCTAAGCCAAGTTGGAGTTTACCCCGCAAATGAATCAGATTGGACAATTCTTATATGGCTCACATCTGGATTTACAAAGACAATAAATAAACCATGATTATAGACAGAGCGCTAAACCACAGATTTTTGGTAAGTGTGGAGTTTAATGTAAGTCAATAAGAGCCAGAGCAAGTTAGAGCAAAACTTTGTCCATAAGCACTTCCTTATTGAGCTTCATCGAGCTAGCGAGTTAGTATAGTCTATCTATGTGCTGCCTATGGTTTTATATAATGAACTTAGCAACAGCCTTAAGATAAGAAATTTAAATTACATTACAAATGCGCAGTGCACCTAATAATAGCAAAGCGTGGAATTAACAGTTTCAGCAGTAAAATTGAAGAAAATTACACAAAAGACTTATACTGACCTACAGTATATTGTACATATCACAATATGGATTGAACTGTTGCTAATATTTGCTAATTCCATAAGCAACTTGGGTGGCATTGGTACCGCTAAATCCTCTGCAGCTCAGAAATGTGAAAAAATTGAGGGTTAAAAAATATCTAAATCCGTCCCTGTGCTCCGGCAGTGCGCTAAAAAGAAAGAATACATACATTGGCCACTATACAGGCCACAGAGTTGAAAAAAGTTGAGGCTTATAGTCCAGCAAGTATTGTAGTGTATGTATTTATGTCTGGATCTTCTAATTGTTTCAAAAAATACAATTGAACTGATCATATCTCTCGACAGGTTCCTCAGGACGTGTCCCAGCTGAAGAACATGCTCTTGTGTGGTAGCTGCCGTCGCTACCTGCCCTCCAGCCGCTTTAACTCCGCCCTCAGCTGTTCTGACGACGGCCGCTGTAAGGACTGTCTGCGGCTGGACAACATCGGCCGACAGCGCCACGACTTCTCCTGGTACAAGCACGTCCTCCACAGGCTGCGGGCCGACGAGCAGCAGCTGGGCCAGAGCAACAAGATCCCCTTCCTCATGCAGGTGATGCTAGTTCTCTGGTCTCCACATCAGAGCCTTAGTGGTCGCTAAGAAGGGATCGTAACCTCTGAATAGCGTTCAGTTTGAATTCTAATATTTCATCGTTTTTGGCAAGGAAAAAAAAAAACTTTCCCATAGCCCTCAGTCCTGCTCTTGTCTCTCACTGCGGTGTCCTCGGCAGCTGTATTTTACAGTGTATGCACGGATTTTGACAGCTGCAGCAGCACATAGACCCACACAGAACAGATTTGATATCTCTGCGATTGCTCGTCAGCAGCAGCAGAAGTGTGTGGTGAGGGGTTTTATAGTCTTAAAACATATAGCTGCTACTTCAAGGATTTTCCTTATTGCAGGTCATTTTTACAATGTAAAGCCTGTGATAAACGAGGGACCACTGTACACTAAAATTTGGAAAACAGGGTTATTGACTCAACGTTTGACTCAAAATCTTTGGTATAAATATTAACCATAAATTAGCTTGGCTTGGCTCACCTCCAAACCAGACCTCAAAAACACATTTCCATTTATTTCCAGAGGGTTATACCAATGTTTGTTTGTCTGTTTGCGAAAGAGTAGAGACATTGGCTGAGTTTGCAAATGGTAATTTTTGAACAAAATAAATAAAAAATGAAAAAGAACATTTTAAGCAACCCTCTGGTGACAGCATAGGGATAGGGCAGGTCGATATAATTGTTTACCCTGGACGCATGTTTCGCTATATATTTTCTACTGAATATATTATTTCACATTCTAAAACATAAAATGTCTTTAAAGTCAAACTGGCAGTGAAGAAGAGTTCGACAGTTTAGTCTTAAAGAATAGTGTTCAATGTTCATGTGACAAATCAAAGTTCTTTCTGTTTATATATATATATATATATATATATATTTGTTTTATCTGACCTAACATATACGCTAATCCAAATAGGAACGTGTTAAGCCTGGTCCCGGTTGTCAAAGCCTTATTTTTATAGTTGTGCTTGTTCTTAAGGTGGAGGACATTCGTTACCTGATGGAAGTGATTTGGTCCAAACAGTCGGCGCTGTTAGCCTGCAGTGACCTGTACAACCTGGTGTTAGCGCGCTGGGACCATCTGAAGGACTGGAGCCCCTGGAACTGCATCCTGCTCTCCAAAGAGGAAGCAGTGGCTCATTCTCACCTAAAAGACATCTACAAGGTTTGTCTCCTGCTGATTTTGTGTTTGAACAGGACTCTCTGTCTACTCTACTGCCAAAAAACACATCATGTTCTTATTTCAACTGGCTGAATGAGTTATAGACATGTTAAAATTGTGTTATTTTAATGTTTTATTTATTTATTCGTTGTTTCAATATGCAACCTATTTTCAGAGGTTTTGTAGTATAGACGTTTCTATCAAAATATGCAGAAAGGACACAAGCTGATTAATGGTACTACTTTCTGCCAATGTGCTAATTAATTTAACATTTCACAAAAAGTGGTGGGTGGAATTTAACAAAGAAAAACTTTTCAGACAATATTGTGGCCGTCTACCATAATTGTGGTAAAACAGTTGTATAAGAATTTCAATAATAGTAATGCATGAGTCTTATATAGCGCTTATTTGGATAATCACAGACACTTCACATATCATTACTCCATACACGGTGGTGAGTGACAGAAGCAAGGAAACGTAAAGTATGTGCCATCGGTCCCCACAACGCCATCGATCATTCACGCACACACCACACTCATATTCGGCAATGTGAGTTAAGTGTCTTGCCTAAGGACACAAATACTGTTTGGCATTTTACAGCCGCAACCACCCTACTGGTGACCCCAGAGGTCTCCCATCACAGTACTAACCAGGCTCTGCCCTGCTTTGCTACAGAGGCCTGACAGGATCTGGCTTTCACATGCTGTTGTTTCCATTTTAGGCTTTTACCCGCAATGTTTATTTTTAATGTGTTTTAAGTAGCAGATTTGAACATAAGCTAGCTGGAGCCAATTTCCTTAGTTCCGACGAGCTAAGGCAAGCTGGAGTTCCCCCCATGAATTAAGGCATCTGATTGGTTAATCCCATAGGCTTCTCGATTTGAAACGACAATATGAAAACCCCGGGAGCGTTAAACTCAAAATGGTGAGTGGGACAAAAACAGTTTCTGAGCTAGAGGAATTTTAACAAATCAATAGGAGCCAGAGCGAGTTGGACCAAAACATTGTCCATGAGCCCTTCCCTATTTGCCTTCATCGAGGGGGTTAGCATTGTCCATAGTCTATATACAGTCTATAATGCTGACAGGAATTCAAACTTTACGAGAAACTTACTCACATAAAGTTAGGGCCATTGGGAGCTGGTGGAAGCCTCAGATAAAAGTGGGCTTTGGCAGCTGTGAAGGCGCCCACTACAAGCTCTGGATGGTGTTTTAAAAGACAGAGGAGAAGCCAAGCAGGGAGGACTGTGCTGCATGAGTGGAAGAGGCTGGAAATCTGAAATATAATTGAATTCAAACAGCATGGAGAGAGTGTTTTGAGAAAGCAGAAGTAAAGACATTTCCTCAACTTTGTATCATTCACACCACTTTTGTAGAATATTTATTGACTTAATGGACAGGGTGCAATTTTCAACATAAAATAATGGTAAGTAGGTTGTAAAGAATTGATATCAACTTATTTAGTAATTGATTTGCTGTTTCTTCCGTAGTCCTAATCATGCTGAGACGAGGAGTTATTTAAACAACTACAGTACTTGCTGGACTACTAAGCAACCTTTATACAAACCACAACAGCTACATTTTAAAAGAAAGTAAATTGTGTCATATATTGATATTAATCTGCAGGTTTTCATCTTGTAATTACTTAAATAACAGTTGGAGTTAAAACATCAACTGTTATTTAATTGATGACAGTTAAATGATTTATTGATGAGGCAATGATCTATTTGGACAAAAGCATTCCTACAAAAACTAGTCCTGTGTTTTTCTTTCCATTTTCTTGTGTCTCTCTGCTGTTCACATAAACACATCGGGAAGCGGGAATATGCCCCCTGCCTGCTATCCAGGGGGCGCTCTAATAAAATAAAATACTAGATGTAAATATTTTGTATGTATATAGACCACAAAGTTCAGAAAATTGAAAAAAAGTAGCCCAAAAAAAAGAAAATGGCCAGCTAATTGATTATTGAAAATATACACTTTTGATGTAATTATGGCTATTGTCTGAAGCTGTTGTTAAAGTGAATCTCTCCTCTCCTCCTCTGCTCCTCTTCTCCTCTCCTTCTCTCTACTCTCCTCTCCTTCTCTCTCATCTCCTCTCCTCCTGTCTCCTCCACTTCTCTCCTTCTCCCTCCTCTCCTCTTCTCCTTCTCGCTCCTCTTATCCTCTCCGTCTCTCTCCTCCTCTCCTTCTCTCTACTCTCCTCTCCTTCTCTCTCCTCTCCTCTTCTCTCCTTCTCTCTCATCTCCTCCCCTCCTATCTCCTCCTCTCCTCCACTTTTCTCCTTCTCTCTACTCTCCTCTTCTCCTTCTCTCTCATCTCCTCCCCTGATCTCCTCCACTTCTCTCCTTCTCTCTCCTCTTCTCTTCTGCTCCTCTCACTTCTCTCCTTCTCCTGTTCCTCTCCTTCTCTTTCCTCTCCTCCTCTCCCTCCCTCTCCTCTTCTCCTCTGCTCCTCTCCTCTACTCCTCTGCTCCTCTCCTTCTCTCTCCTCTGATCCTCTCCTCCTCTCCTCTCCTCCTCTCCTCCTCTCCAGGCCTACGAGGCAGAGTTTGTGCACTGGGTGGAGCAGAGGCACCTCCTGGCCAGACAGCACTTCAGTCAGATACCTGCCGTCGCCGCGCACATGGACTCGGAGCCCAACGCCGCCCTCGGAAAGCAGCTCGTGTCCAAGCCCATCGCCACGGCAACAGGCAATCACGTACCAAACACCGTAGTGGCATCTGCTCATTAAGAAATGTCCTGTGGTTTTCTGTTTCATGCTTTACCTCCTGCTTACTCCATAATGTGAGATTAAATGTCTCTGTTACATCGTTGAGTTGTGCATTTTAGCAGCTGCATATGCTTTGGTTTCACACGTAGTGGCGTCCTCCTCATAGAGTTTTTACAAAGCACAAGCGAGGTAATTAAGTTTCAATTTTAGACTGAAAAGGCGTCATATTATGTATATTATGTACTTTGGGAAAAAAGGAATCTGGCATCACTACAGGGCGGCACGGTGGCACAGCGGTTAGAGCTTGTGTTAGCAAGAAGGTCCTGGGTTCAATTCCACCTCCAGGCTTTTCTGTCTGGAGTTTGCATGTTCTCACTGTGTCTGTGTAGGTTTCCTCTGGGTGCTCCAGTGTTCCCTACCACTAAGAACATGTACGACAGGTATAAATTAGCTGTAAATTGGCCGTAAACTCTGGTCAATTATATTTTCCTACATTCGACTCATAAAATATTGAAAAATTGAAGCCGGACATATCCTGGTCTTACCACAACATGGTACAAATTTCATTTCGTACTAGGGTCTGGATTTGCTACATTGAGCTCTGTTCACAGGAGGGAGGGGTTAACAATTAGATCTGAGTTTAGATCTAGTGAATCACTAGCATAACAGCCTAGCTTTAGCCATCTCCTTTTCCACTAACGGAGCCTGTGGGGAGTAGAGCCACAACATCTTTGCCAGCAATGAAATCTGCTAAACATTCCGCTTGCTCCGGCTTCAATTTCTTGGTATTTGGAGCCGAACCAGAACGGATTGCTTTACTGTCGTATTTGACACCTTTGCCAAACTACAACCAGCAAATTCGGTGCAAACTCGTAAGTCTTGATGTCACAGACACCACCTCGCTGAATGGCTGGAGGGGATTCAACAGAGGTAACTGCAGACGTTGGGAGCAGACGCATACGTACAAGTAGGAAAATAATAATTGACCGGAGTTTACGGATGGCTTTGGCCAGGCTAGGTAAGACCAGGCTAGGTATGAATGTAATGAATGGATGGTTTTGGTTGGGGGCTTTTATCATCATTCATCACCTTGTGGAGAGAATGGAACAATATCTGAACTCTAAACTTGAACTCTCTTGTAAAGCGATTTGGGTGACCTTGGTCTGTAAAATGCTCTATATAAATAAACATTACATCCAAATATCTTGTGTCATTGGTTCTAAAATCCCCATCAAAGCTGTGTTGCCAATGCCAAAAGTAGGTGAGTAAGTAAGTCCCCTTTTTTATAGAGCGCCCCTCACAGAGATTGACCATGGACTGATATATATATATTTTCAGTCCTATAGGTGGACAATGCTAACCGCCGAGCTTAATGAAGCCTAAGAGGAAAGTGCTCATGGATGAAGTTTGGTTTCAATTCAACTCGCTCTGGCTCCTTACATCGTGAACTCCTAGCTCAGTAACTCACAATAATCCAGCAAGTTGTATTTATAAAAGCTCTTTTTGGATAATAAACTGAACATGTCAAAGCTCTTCTGATGTAGTTTAAAATGAATCTAGAAATGTAAATTATCGTCCTGTTTTCTTCTCAAATTAGTATTGTTTTTATACAAGCTTTAGTGCTTTACCTTTGACAACCCTGCAGCATTTAGAGGAGACATCAGTTCCAGGGGTATTTGTCAAGGGATTTTCTTCTTCTCTGCATCTTATGGTCTCGTCTAAATGTTTCTCAGTTGTGTTTTTTGCCTTTGTTCTTCCTCATTTTGAAACACTAATAGCAAGTCAAAATCAACTTTCATAACCTTCTGCGTTGGCAACTGTTTAACGTCTGTCTGAGGCTGAGATAAGGTCAGACTTAAAGCTGGTGCTCGTGAGTTGGAGAGGTATTCTGTCTTTGAACTGTGCTCGATCCGAGTCTGGAGGCAACAGAAGGAGAAGGAGGTAAGCCATGACATATTTACTTAATTCACTTGTCATGCAATATTATACTTTTAAAGCTGGCGTACCTGACTTTCAAACCCTAAACAAAACAATGTAATACAATCTAACTTGTTCCTAACTTGCTAAACAACTTATCTCTATCCATAGTTTTTATGTACTGTCACAAGAGGCATACAAACCACAATACACATGTACATTAACAAAAGTGGAGCTATACCCTTAAGTTGTATGCACAGCTACACAGAGCCTGGTTTTTAGTCAGAGTAGAAGCCTGTCTAACATTGTCAGGAAGATTGTTCCAGCATACATAGTACATGCATAAATCTGAAATGCTGCCTCCCAATGTTTTGTCTGTGGGCACCAGCAGGAGGCCAATCCCTGTTCTCCTCAGAGTCCGAATTGGTTCATATCGCACTAACAATTCAATGCATTCTTGTATAGCCCAAAATCACGACAGTAGTTATCTCGGAGGACTTAACGAAACTATTGAATTTGCCAACACAGATCAAAGAATCAACAGTTCAACACTAGAAATGCACATATAAAAACATATAGAGCCATTGGTCCATAAGGGGCAGATGACCAATGTCCGTAAATGAGGATAAATGTCCGTACATGTCACAGTTGTACTTTAGTACGAGCCTTGTGAAAAGAAGAAGAAAGGTTTTTACTTTTACATTGTTTACTACAACCAGGAAATGAAAACTCTCTGTGTCGGTGTCATGTTTTATAATGTTCTCTGTCATAGATATGGAGACCGTGCAGCCCTGACCCTGTGTCAAACCGGATCAATGAACAACAGCAGCAGAATGTGAAGGACCCAGACGCCACACCAGACACAAGGACAACAACCCAACATGTTGAGGACAGCCATTTTCTACTATCGCCACTTCATTGTGACCGTGATGACTCCACTGATGCTGCTGCCTCTCCTGCTGGTCATCGGGACTAAGGTGGGAGTCTGCTGTCTGAGGAGACCAAGTCAAATATCATAAAAGCACATTTGTAAGCTGTTTTGTATAACCTGAGATTCCATTCAAGTTAATTACACATAGAAGTTTGTTTACGGTGGTCAATATGGAAATACGATACATGTTCAGCCTCATTCCTGGATCTACAGCTTCAGTCCTGGATCTACAGCCTTAGTCCTGGATCTACAGCCTCAGTCCTGGATCTACAGCCTCAGTCCTGGATCTACGGCTTCAGTCCTGGATCTACAGCCTCAGTCCTGGATCTACAGCCTCAGTCCTGGATCTACAGCCTCAGTCCTGGATCTACAGCCTTGGTCTTGAATCTACAGCCTCAGTCCTGGATCTACAGCCTTGGTCTTGAATCTACAGCCTCAGTCCTGGATCTACAGCCCCAGTCATGGATCTATAGCTTCAGTCCTGGATATATTGCCTTCCCGTAGTTTCTCTTTTTTCCACTGGGTTCTTTGAGTTGTTCCATTGCTGATGTAGCTCTAAGGACAGTAATGATGGGATACCTACAGTAAGGACTTTTATGGACGGTATATTCTTTATGGGCCATAGAGAATACTGCTCCTATACTGTATCTTTTTTATTTTTCCTGTGTTTGAACCGTTTGATTTTTCTTATTGGCTGTTGGTGATTTGACAACTTTGTAAAGTCCTCCGTGATTTAGGGCAATATGAAAATAAATGTAACTGAACTAATTGTAGGTTAGTATTTTTGACTAATGAGCCAGGTTGATGCTATTGTTTACAAAATCAAAACACATGGAATGATTCAACACTCTCCAAGACATGACTGATAATGATAATTCTTACCCAATATTTGTTATTCATAATTGCAGATGTTGTACAGTGCAGTGTTTTCTCTTTCTCAGGAGGCAGACTGTGCCTTTGTGCTGCTGCTGATGGCCGTGCTGTGGGTGAGCGAGGCCGTTCCTCTGGCCGTCACCGCCTTGTTCCCCGCCGTCCTTTTCCCGCTCTTTGGAATCATGAGGTCATCTGAGGTGAGCTTACTGTACGTCTTCACTTTATCATTTAGGTCACAGAGGGGTCAAACTCATTTTGGTTGGGGCCGAATTTTAGGTAATAGCTGGTCAGGGGCCAAAACTATAACAGAAGTTTTCTGAGTGGAAAGTTGAGAGAGAAATATGTGTATTTGTATATAGGAATTTTGTCAAAGTAATTTCCTTTTTATGAGTTTGGATATTATTTTTGGTTTTATTTTAAAAAAGAAGTTCATTAACTGTTTGGATTGAACCAAAACTGTACCAGAGGTGAAGAAGGCTGTAGATAGATTTTTATAGAAAATAGAAATCTGTAGGTTTTTTATTTTAATTTTACTTAAATACATGGGTTAAAATGTTAAAATTAAATAAATGACATGGTTGTCTTCTTGAAAACGTTCTTCATAATTAGGTATAACAAGCCCTGGTAGCCATATTAACAGATTCCCACCAATGCACCAAAGTGGTATGGTCATATGCAGAGAATGGATGAAGAGAGATTGACGAAGAGAGTGATGAATAGTGAGTGGTAGTAGACTGAAAGGTAGACCAAGGTATGGATGGAATTAGGGTGTGAAAAGAGCACTGAATGTTTGAGTTTATCTGTGAATGCGTGAACCCCCCCTTCCCACATGATGCTGCTTGCCAGAGGGGTCGCAAAGTGAATGTGAGTGACGGAGTGTGTGATCAAAACGAAGAACCTCCTTCTACCCTCCTTGAAGGAAATGGTTTACTGCTATACATACATAGATAGACAGAAACATTGACAGTTATTTCTGGTTTTGGTTTCTGCATTTGGTGCAGGTGGCCTCGGTGTACTTTAAAGACTTCCACTTCCTTCTGATTGGCGTCATCTGTCTGGCCACCTCCATCGAGAAGTGGGGGCTGCATCGCAGGATCGCTCTGCGTCTGGTCACTGTGGTGGGAGTCAGGCCGGCCTGGTGCGTGCCCTTTCCTTAGTTATCACTTTTTCAAAATCTTTCTGATAAAAATAGAATGCAGGCAGAGTATAAAACACATATTTTGTTTGTTATTTAGGAGAATGTGCTATCACTGTAATAGTAGTAGATGATCGTAGTTTTAACAATATCTTGCAAATTTTTGGAGGCTTTGATTCCTAAATACAGTACTTGCACAATCAGAAATTAGAATTAGAAATTCTCATAGGCTCATTGAGTTGTAGCATGCTGAATTATCCCAATTAACCTTGTACCCAGAAATACAATCACTAAAGTAAATGAAAATCAGTTTTTGGACCTGCAGCAGATTCCTCGTTGGCGTGAAGTGTGACTTTTCTTCCCAGCCTGTGTCAGGTCTCGTAAGATACGAGACCTCCATATTTCGATAATCTGAGACCTTTCACAATGTCTTTTCTTGTCTTTGGTAGTAATGAACTATTTAAGGTCAAGTAAAGGCGTTTGTCTTGGTCCCTTATACACCCACCATTCGGTACTTTGTTGCTTAGATCAGCCTTCCAGATCGTTCCGTAAGAACCTTGTTATCCATGATCAATGTGAAGAGCAAGATAATCGCTTGCTTTGTTGAATATATGGTTATCACCCCAGTTTATCTGCACGAGCAACAGCTAGATAAAGATAAAGAGATCCTTTATTCATCTCAAAGTGTGGACATTTCAAAGAACAGTTGGAATGAGGAGCACTCAACACAAGATAAAATAAGATAAGATAAGCTAGACTTTATTGATCTCACACAGGAGAAATGTACATGTCACATGTGGCATGGATAGAAACACTCAAGGCAAACAATAAAAATTGTGCAAAGAAGTGTGCAAACATATTAATGCAGGATATATTATGTGCAATAAAAGTGGCAATTAAGAAACAGTGGCCATAGTAGTGCAGGTTATTTATTTTTTTCCAGTCCTAGTGCAAGTGACTTAAAGTGACTTATTGTACAGTCTGACAGCAGTGGGGATAAAGGCCCTGCGGTAGTGACTAAGTGTAGCACAACTCTAATCTGTATACACTGACAGTCAGCCATGTCCAAACTCAAGCCCGGGAGCCAAATGCGGCCCTCAGTGTCATTTTATGTGGCCCTCTGCCTTGCTAGCCCAAAGTTGTCTTTGATATCATAAACACAAGTTCGCCCTGTCATCCATCCAACTTCAGCTCAGTCAATATAGACCTCGTTCTAAAACCTCGTTATTTATTTGTACACACAGTACTGACATTGTTTTTGATTGTGCACAAACTTCTGTTAATGGTGCTAATGTAGCTAGTGAGATGGTAAATATTTGTCATTCAGTCAACTTCAGCTCTGTTATATAGATCTTAAAGCTCAGACCAGCCCGATGCAAGTCAAGGCAGTTTTTCAGTCCGTGACGTCAGCCCCTGGTGTCCCTTTTACTGGAATGTTTGGACACCCCTGGACTAAGTAAAGTGACAAACATGGCCCCATATTGCACATTCTAATATTTAAAATTATTGCACAGATGCATAACATGTGAGGTCAGGTTGACAGTGTCCATTAGTCCTATCTTAACTTCACTGCTAAACTTGAAAATATAGCTGTAATATCAACCAATCAATCAAGAAAATATATAGTTTTTTATTTAAAAAAAAAAAGCAACACAAAGTCCTTTACCATAGATTACAACCATGGCCATTAAACTCACCCACTCAAGAGACCCACCACAAACATCCCACACACAACAGGACACACACAAACATTCCACTTTCCATGAACACACACACATCTCCGGTGGAAACACTGGAGATACTAAAACAATTCCGTAAAAAAGTAAAATATTGAAATGATAGACAGGACTATAGCACAAAAACATCACTACACAAAGAAAAAAATAGAATAGGTAAGATAAATCTACAAAATAAATGCCAACTTAAAAGCAAATATAGGGGGTGTAATAAACATGCAGACTGTAGCATACATGAAACATAACAACACAACAAACCCCCTCTGCGTCACACTTTCAACGTTCGACAATTGTGGTTGTCAAACTTTATGTCTCCAGGAATTAAATGTTGTTTGAAGATGAAATGTTGTTACAAAGTCGCTCACATGCTGTTCGTTTTGGCTTTGTTTCGTTCTGGTTTCCTTCAGGCTGATGTTGGGTTTCATGACCGGCTGTGCATTCCTCTCCATGTGGGTCCACAACACCTCAGCCGTCGCCATGGTGATGCCCATCGCTGAGGCCGTGCTGCAGCAGATCCCCCGGTCGTCCATAGACTCGGACGGAGAGGACAACCGCAGCTTTCAGGCCGACGGTGCAAGAATTTCCCCATTACCAATAATAATCATATATTCACACACATGTCCTATGTTTTGTGCTCACTGACCATAATAATAATAATAAGAATCCATTTTATCTCTACGCACCCAAGGTCACTTTACAGCATGGTCACAACAATGAAACTATGAAAACATTCACTTAAAGTAGCAATATGTAAGATTGTCATGTCAAGTTATCATTAAAGGGCCCTAATCTGTAAAAAGGCATTAATAAAACTTGCTCTTTTCCAATACTTATTACAGTAGTTCAGAGATGTACAGCCTTGTGTAAAATTGTTTTCATTTTGATGTCCCACCCTCCACCATTTTATCAATCAGAAAGTCTGCAATCCGGGTTGCCAGAACTCACTGCGTCGAGCAAATCTCACTGGTAAAGTAACATGTGGCCGCAGAACAAAAAAAGGTCTCATTATGATTCTCAAAACAGGAATAAAACAAGAATTTCTATCCGGGCTTTTGTGAATATGGTGTCAGTTATAGATTTGTTGTTGACAAAACTCTTGTCTATTCAGTAATTATGGTCCCAGCTGGATTTGTCTGCATATCTGGCAACCTGAGTCATTGAAGAGGTTGCAGTACTACTTTTGGCCAGATTTGTACATACTGCTCCTTTTAAATGTCAAAAACAAATGATGAATGAAAATGGTGGGACTTGAAGAGGGTCAGAGAGGTGTCTGAGGTCAGGATGGGAGAGAGCTGCAGAGATTCGGGGGTGAGCAGGTAAAAGCTCAACCCGCTTTCATGCGATCTCTGAGATATCCACGTAATCGTCCGACTTCCCAAAACTAGCGTTCATGAGGAGATGGTGACACACGCACAGCCACTCATACGTCCATGAGAAGGCACAGAAGCCTTCATCAAATGTGTTGCTCCTGTGTCCTTTAAAGTAAAACCATTGATGTGATTTCAAACTCTGTGTCTGTTCTTTCATGTGTCACAGTGACGCAAACTCAGAGACCAATGACCCAGTCTGAATTTCAATCCCCGTTTCACCGTAAGTTTCCGAGTTGAGCAGCGACCATTCCCATTATTCCTTGCCGGAAGTCGGAACTTTAGAGTTTTCAGGTTTGCATAGAAGCAGCATTTGTCTCCCGTGGTGATCAGGATCAGGGGGAAGGGACAGGGAGCAGTGGGCAGAGGAGGAGCAGAGTGAGCGAGGGGAACAGGAACATGGAGGTCGTCAGAGAGGTAAGGGGGTGCCAGGTTACGGAGCTGTTGTATGTTTTATGAGTTGGTTGATGTGATCTGCTAAAGTTTACCCACTTATTGTATTTGTATGTATTTATTTAGATTGATAGATAGATATTTAATTTATTGATCCCCGTATATGAGAATATCAGGTGTCCAGCAGCAGAAAACATATCCATTTAAACACACAATTACACAAGTACATCAATTATAAAAAAAATTCTAACTTACTAACATTTCTAACTGGGGACTTTCGCTAATGTTTTCCAATGTGGTTTTACTGCAAATGGCGAATAAAATGAATCTGAATCTGAACTAACTACCTAACCATAGTATTATTCTAGATAGTTTGGGCTAGTATAGATTCATATGCATATATTATTGACCATTATATCTAAGGCTAAAGTGAAGAATTTAGCTTGAATTAAGAGAATATATGTGCGGATACTAAAAAACTACAGGTTTGTGATTTCATAAGTGAATTTAAGAACACAATTCTGTCAAGTACAAGTCATTAAAATACCTATACAATTACATACCTACATTTCAAAACATAAAAAAATACTACTAACATGAATGTATTTTTGATTAGTAGTGATAAATCCTCTTTTCATGTTTCCAGAACATAGTGGCAGCATCCAAACAAAAGAAACCAAATGGTGTGTAAAAAAAATAATCATTTCGTTTCAACTTCACCTTGATCTTATGAGATTTCGTTAATTTTCTTGTTTCAGTGAAAAGAAGGACGACAATGCTCCGGTTGAAACTGCAAAAGCATGTCACATGGTCATCACGGAGGCAGATCAGGCAAGACTATTTTTTTCTTCTTTTTTTTACAGTTATTGTCACACCACTGTACATCAGGGGCATCACAGAGAGGGTACAAAGGGCAGGCAAGAAACACAATAAAAAAACAAAACACACCAGTTACAAACTAAGAAAAACTTAAGATAACTCCTCGTCCACCCGAAAGATAGATAAGAAGATAAGAAGAATCAAATGTCGTCCACAAAATAACAAAATATGACATACATTGGGTTAGGGTTAGAGTTAGGCCTCCTACTAACAGGGAGAAGGCCTAACTCAAAAGGGGAACTCAAGAAGAAATGTATGTGGGAAAAACAAATATCACAGGGGCTGAAGAAAACAAACACGACGCTGGATCAAATAGGCAATAGAAATACGGAAACAATAAACCAGGACGATGGGGTCGTTTTATTCTCACACACCTGGAATTTTGAGCTGAAGAAATTGGACAGCAGATGGCGCTGACCCCCCTCCCATTTTGTGTGGAGTGAGAGGGAAAATGCCCACAACAATTGTAAAGCGCTTTGTGACTCTGCGCTATAAAAATAAAGATCATTTATCTGCTTACTAACATAAACTGCGTAAAACAGCTGACAAGACACGTCACAGGAGCATTCTGAGATCAAGTACAGAAAAAAACTCTGATCATCCAGAAAATTGATTCATTATTGGATTACTTTGTTTCAAATCAAGCAGGGCTCTATCAAATATCAAAATATTCGTTAATCAGAGGGTTTAGATCCTGGAAGGCCAACAAATATGGGAATTTTTTTTAGATATTTGACCAAAACAAATCTCCAGTGATGCCTCTGTAGACACCTTTTTAGAAAGGACTGTTACACATTGGGTTGCTTGATTAAAAATACTTTGTAAACACAATTTAATTTTGCAGTCATTGTAAAATTATCTACTTATTAACTATTTCAATAATTGATTACCTTCATGTCTGGTATAATATAACAAATTATTGCAGGGGGACAATTATGGACATTTATATCACATTTATGGTCGCAGGAAGACTATAAGTGTGATATCATAGAAGCCATTTGTCCCTATGTTGGCGAGTCGACCCCTAAAGTCCTCCAAGGCGACTTCTGTTTTGATTTAGGGCTATACACAAATACTTTGAATGAATTGAATCGCATTTTTGACCCTCATGATTGACTTTCAGGCTATAGCAGGTGAAAAAGGAGACCGCCTGCTGTGCAAAGCCATATGTCTGGGCATCGCCTATTCCTCCAACATCGGTGGCATCAGCACACTGCTCGGAACCTCTCCTAACCTCATCTTCTTCGAGTACCTTCACCAGTAAGCTCTTCACTCTCTCCTGTAAGACTTCGGGTTTAGGGAGAGGATAAAACAGATTTGTAAATCACAAAAACCCCAGAGACTGTTAAACTCTCCAGATGTATCAATTTACATGCAGCCGCCTTAATACAGTCTGCAGTTCTACACGTGTCTAATCTGGATTATGTAAAGTACTTGGAACATGGAAAGGTTTTAGGCAGATAAAACACATACCAATTAATTTTGTTTTGTTTTAGTTCTGGGGTGGTTATCAAAATCAGCAGCTCAATGCAAAGACGAATGGTTTGTAGCAGGCATGATTACTTTTTTCTTTGGCTCCTTCTACCCGAACAGCTCAGAGGTAGTAAGAAGCAAAGAGATAACATGTCTAAATTACCCAGGCTTACAATGCACACGATAATCACTTGCTTTTGCCCAAATTCTCAAATTGAATCCACTAATTCTCTATTTAGTAATTTTAGCACTTTTATAGAACAGTATTTTAATATGGAAGTAAGCAACCTTCACTTTTTTTTCTGACCTATATGTTTATGTGCAAGTTATATGATCGTATTGTCAAGGATTACAGATGGAAACTACCCTGGTGCTAAATCTGGTGCTGCAGTCTTTTTAATCTACAGTGCCCTTAATAGATTTAACTAAAACAACTGAACTAGAATAGCTTCACCCTATTCCGAGGTGTTGTTCTTGTTGTTGTAATCCTATTAAAAATTTAACAATATATAACAGTGTATATTTTGGGCTAGGTTTGGAATAAAGAATTGGGCAGCACAGTGGCTGAGTGGATAGCACTCTCGCCTCTCAGCAAGAAGGTCCTGGGTTCGAATCCCGGCCGGACCAGGGCCTTTCTGAGTGGAGTTTGCATGTTCTCCCCGTGTCTGCGTAGGTTTCCTCCGGGTACTCCGGTTTCCCCTACCACTAAAAATATGTACAATAGGTCTGGCATGCGCCTCCTGTTCGGCGACCCCGCTCCCGTCTCTGTGTGGAGTGAGAGGACAAGTGCCCAAAAAATAACAATTGTAAACCGCTTTGTGACTCTGGTCTGTGAAAGGCGGTATATAAATAAAGCTTACTTACTTACTTACGTCTCAGAATAGGAGAAGCAGTTGTGTTTGTCTATCTGTGTTAAATCCTCACTCTAACACAATTCACCTTTTGCTGCCTCGCTGTTTCGCATATTTCTTTATTTGTGTTATGAAACGCAGATCCAAAAATACAAGCTCTTTTAAAAAACACTGGAGAACAAATGATGATTGTAATCGACTCCAAAGTAGCTCCAGGGAAAAAAACAACGGGAAAACTGGTCTTCTGATGAAATACAAAAAACAGGATTAAAACAAGTTCAAGAAAAATGGTCCTCTGGGTCAAGGGACAAACTGGCAGTGGCTTCCAGCATTGAAATATTCTCCCCAACCGGCCTGATTGGAGACAGGTGGGCCCTCCTTAAAACAGGCATTAGCTCACCTGTATTGGGGGAGGAGACTCACAGACACACAAAGTTAGGGGAGGGGGAGACACAGAAGGAAGGAGGAGCTAAAAACGTCCCACAATTTGCACTTTTGCACACTGGTGTGGGTTTGGTTCCAATCTTGGTGGGGACATTCACTACGACCTGAGTCTACACCCATTGACACGGGGTCCAGAGTTTCTCCCCCAGAATTTGTTGTGTAATCACACACTATATTTGCAATAGTGTGTTGCCTTCTATACTAAACTCAGCTGTAGACTGAATGAGAAGCAGAGTTTCCTATGTATGTTAACAGAAGATTAATCATCACAATTCATAATTTGCTATTACTTGTGCTTTCTCTTACTTACTTTCCAACTGTTAAAAAAGCTCCTGAAATCTTTTATCTTTTTTTGTGGAGGTGGCATTTTTTCTAAATTTTATAAGAAGGTATAGACAATCAAAAACAGACATTCATATACATGAACTGCAGAATCATTTATATAACTTGGCCAATGTCAAAAGTTACATAGTATTTCTCAATACAATGAGTTAACAAGAGTTTGGCAATAAGTGTGGATTTTTCTATATTTTCTTTTTTTTAATTCCATTCTCAACCTAAAAAGGCAAGTAATGACTCACAGGGCTCTCAAGTATGCAAAATAAAAACTTAAATGACCTGTTGTGGTGTGTTTTGCGCACAACCAGCATGCATCGTTAACGCAATGGAAAATTTAGGTATCCGAGCTTTAATTTCGGGAGCGCTGGTTGCGCTTTGGGAAGAGTCAGGGGAGAGACATGTCAGAGACACAGGGGAGAAACGGGGGAGATACGAGGGAGACCCGCACTTGCAACATGGTTCTGTCTGCATATGGTCCGAGCTCGGTACCATGTTAGAGCTGTGCTTTCACTGAGCGCCGCGGCTGTCATTACTAAGCGGCAGCAGCTGCACCAGGACGTGCACATTCGAGTGCATCGCTTGAATGTGCTTAGAGCAAATAACAGCAAGTGCCCGCTGTCACACATTTCACAGAAATTACATTATCAGCAGATAAAGGTTGTAAATCGTGGATCCGTGGAATATTTTAATCCCTAGTTTATCCTGATTCACACAACACACCCACTTATACATTTTGGATAGTAAGAGCACAATAAGTATTTTTTCAGCCTTTCAACCAACCTGTTTCTTTATTGGAGCCAGTTCTGTTCTGTCTCTGTATGCCGTGAACATTAAACAGTGCGCTGACAGATTAGAAATAACGTAAGTACTTTGAATGGTAATAGATCTACAGTACTTTCCTCTGATTACTCACGTGCTACAACGCTCAGGGAACGAAAAAAAACACTTGCTTCACGCTGGCTAACTTTAAAAATTTAAACAGTCGCTCAGTGCTTCAGTTTGGCGCTGAAGAAGACAGCCAATCACTGCAGAGAACGGAGCGGGTCACGTGCTGCTGCTGCTGCTGTTGCTCTGGAGGCGAGGAGGAGGCGCGACGTATGCACAAACGGAAGACATGTGTCCCGGACTGTCCGGGTCACGGCACATCATGTCATTTTGGTGGGGACTTTTTAGTCTTCACCGAATATTGGTGGGGACATGTCCCCATGGTCCCCACGCAAACCTACGCCCTTGCTTTTGCATGCTTTTTTACAGCACTTAGTAGTCTGGCAATTATGGTACACATTGGACTCAAACTGTATTGTTATGGGCCTTGCCGTTTGTAGTTTCCCTTGCCTCCACCCCCTTTCAGCTTTGTGCCGCCTCCGCACCACCCATTGGCTGATGACCAGCACCTGTTGGATGCCAATCTGCCCAGTCATAAAAAGGCCCCAGGCCCAACTGAGAGCTGACGTCTGCGTCCAACTCTGCACCTTTGTTTTTGCACATTTCTGCTTAGTATTTTTGTTATTATGAGATCCTGAGTTCTATTAAACCTATTAATTGTACGTATAGTCTACGACCTCTCACCTTTGTTCTTTTACATCATTCCACACCCGGTTATTCACAACAGATGTTACGTGCTACCACCCTGGACTTTCTGGCACGTGATATGTATAAAGCCATTTTATACAAATAATATAACACACAGACTGGCTGTAGTGCAGTGCATAGTGTGTACTCAGTGTGTACGCAGCACTGCCATGAGTCACAGATGTGTTAGACGCAGCAGTGTGAACTTGAGCAGAGAAGTATGATCTCTGGGAACATGGCAGTTTGTTGTTGTCACGGCACAGATCCCACCAAAAAACATGTTGAAAATGACAAATGAAATAAAACAATATTAAAATATAAAAAGACACTGTCCTCACACTGTTACAAATGTTACAAACATCAACAACTACATTTCCTAACACTTTTGTGATAATATCCAGCAATAACAGTGACACATGCACACATACCTGTACACACCACACCCAAAAGGTATTACACCTGTTTAGAGTCCCCTCCCCTTCCTACGTTCTTTTATTCCTTATCTGTATGAATCTCATGTATATATTGGTTTGCATTGTTTCTGTATAATGCAATTGGTCACTTTCAATCTAGATGCTTTTTAATCAAGATAAAAAGTACAAATGCACAGATACACACACAGACACTCAAACACACACAGACAGACACACAAGCAGACAGACAGACACACAGACGGGCAGACGGCATATGTAATCTTTGCCTTCACTTTTTTCCAGAATGTACCCAGAATGCAACAACGTGAACTTTGGCAACTGGCTGCTGATGTGTTTGTCCTGATGTGTTTGCCCATCAGCGTGCTCATGCTGCTGCTGACCTGGGCCTGGCTCTTCATGGGCTCAGAGTAAGTATACTGTACGTACAGTAAGTGATACTGTATTCACTGACCTTCTATAGAATATTATATAATTATTACACGGCTCCTCACAGCAGCAGTAGAAGGCTCCATTGATTTGAATGTAATTTCAAAACGTTCTGTCATTATTTCTTGATAATTAATTAATGACCGCTGCCCATGGCAACGCACCCTCTGCTTGTAATTCAGATGTGTCGATTGCTCCGCAATTCCGGCCACTCCGGAGCTAGCCACAATCAATAAACGCAAATACCAATCAATCAACACATTTAAATGTTAATCGGAGAATACATTATACATTCTTAATACACATGCACGGAGGATTTCAGATTTTTCTGTTAAGGTTTTCATGACAAAAATACTGTTTTAATGCGAGAAAAAGCTATTGCGAAAAACCTGGAAGTAGATTCCGGGACATTTTAGGAACATTTGCAGAGGATGGAATTATAGATTTAGGTTAAGTTTATGTTTGGGTCACTCACCGCTGATGTTCAGAATTCTTTGTTCAGTTTTCATGCAGTTCAAGAGAGGTTTAGTTTGGAAGTTGCAAGCCTAACTGTTACTCGCATAGCCACGGGAAAGCCTTTGGGAACTATATTATTTTCTGTCATTAAATAAACCTTTTGGCATTCCTAAGAGTGGACTGAACAGGGTGCTTGCTCAAGTCTTGAAAGTCTTAATAAGTATGGAATTTTGAAACACTGTTTTCCAGACCTTGAAAAGTCTTGAATTTTGTGTGAAAGTCTTAATAAAGTATACGTAAAAAATGTATGGTTAAATTTTTTTTACATTTCTAATAAACACAGTTGGTACAATCTCAACCAATGAAGTAGGCAGTCGGCACACAAGTATACAAGTACATAAAGTTAAGGTCTTGGGAAAAAAAATAAGTTATAAAAAACTCCGGAATTTTTATTTGGTAAAAGAGCAAGCACCCTGTAAAAATTACCCATATTTGGACCCATTTTGCAATCAGTTGTGAGTAAGAATAGAACCGGAGACTACCAAAAACTGTAAACCCAAATTTAAGTAAGTAAGTAAGTAAGCTTTATTTATATACCGCCTTTCACAGACCAGAGTCACAAAGCGGTTTACAATTGTTATTTTTGGGCACTTGTCCTCTCACTCCACACAGAGATGGGAGCGGGGTCGCCGAACAGGAGGCGCATGCCAGACCTATTGTACATATTTTTAGTGGTAGGGGAAACCGGAGTACCCGGAGGAAACCTACGCAGACACGGGGAGAACATGCAAACTCCACTCAGAAAGGCCCTGGTCCGGCCGGGATTCGAACCCAGGACCTTCTTGCTGAGAGGCGAGAGTGCTATCCACTCAGCCACCGTGCCGCCCACTTTTAATTAAAAAATTTAATCTGTAAAAGTTGAAGGCCGCGAAAGGTGAATTGCGTTAGTTAGGGACTGTATCTCAATCATTTTTGTGTAAGAAATGTACAATATTGGCCGGCTCTGAACGATACCCGGTTCTAATTTTAAGAATTTAAAACTATGAGAAATTAGTGATTCATCAAAAATGAAATATTTACATTTTTTATTGTAAATATTATATCTTGCACATAAGTGACTATATTTTAACCTTTTTAACACGTTTGCAAACTTCCTGTCTTTTTGCCCTTAGTGATTCTATCTATGCCAAATGTGTCGTGTACATTTCTCCATTGTGAGATCAATAAAGTTTACCTTTATCTATATTCTATATCTATATTCTGCTTTTTACACACACACATTGCCACAAAAACACTTCCCATTAAAAAGCTCAATAAGTTCACGATTTTCTTTTTATCCTCAGGTTTGTCAACAGTATTCCTCCTCATATCAGTATTCTATTGTCGAATCCGAGCCTCATTTATAAACTGGAAATGTGATGAGAAAAACAACTATTTGTTTTGAAAGCTTTCCAAAACATAAAAATACCCCTTGGACGACAAAGCTTTTCTCCCTAATTACAAAATCACAGCGGCACAGACTGATTTGAAAAGTTGTGTATTTTTCCCTTGTCTGGCTTTGTGCCTTTTTGATATTTCCTTTTGCTGCTTATTTTTCCTCGAGCTCCGATGAATAACTTCTGCAAATGTCAAAACGCTAATCTCTCATTACTTCACCTTTGTCAGACCTGCTCTTTGTTTAACGTGCCCGAGACGCACAGCGGCTTTGATTCATGAGAGCTATGTTCACGTTAGCATTTATCGTGTGAAGGGGTTAGACAGGTTAATGAAGCAATCTGACAAGCCTCACGTCCACTTTATCAGCTTTTAATGTCTATTTTTACCTAAATAAAAATACCTGTCTTATTCCCAAAGTTTTAGCTTCCTGTGGAAATGTGGAGGGCAGCGGTCGGAGACAGAGAGAGCAGTCAGGAAGGTGTTTCAAGACGAATACAGAGCTCTCGGACCGATGAGGTGATGACTGCTTTTTGTCTTGCCTTGCCTTGCCATGTGCTGTTTACGGAGCTCACGTCTCACAATATGGAGACGTGGATGGCGTGACCATAGAAAGATAGAACCGGGAAGCGCGGAAGAACAAGACTTTCTTTTGGCTGTTTCGCTGAGTAAGCAGTAACCGGTAACAAAGACACAGGAAGTTTCAGGTTAGCCTCCGCTGCTTGTTTACCTCAGCTGTCCCAATGCACTGCATGGATATGGATTGAATTATTGTAATGAATACAAAAATAATGTCAGGTAATGCAGCTCTAAGATTAGCTTGAAACAATAATATGTTAGTAATATGTTATGTTAATTAAAGTTATTAAATCCACGGATGCAAAAGATGAGCTCTAACAAACTTTCAACAAAACAAAAAATCGTATATATTTTTGACCCCAGGCAAGCTTATATTTCAAATTCATCCCCAGACTAAAATGAGTTTGAGATCTCAAAGTATGCAAAGGAAACGAATGAGAATCAAACTCATGGATCTATCGCAATGCAGCAAACCGAAAGTGAAGCCTCCAAATGAACCAAAACAAACAAAAAGACACAGTTACTAATCATGCTGTAACTGAAATACAGGATCATTTTGTGTTTTTATCAGTGGGGGTGGGTCCAAGCTAAAAAAGGTTACTCCGCATGCGCGTTGACATGCTTGCAATCCCACTCTGAGCTGGTGGAGGTGGACCCGGAAAGAGAATTACCCACGTTCCAGATGTGTGTCAATGCTGAGGGGAGTATTATTATTTTTTTGGACCAGTTTATTTTAGTTTAGCCGCCGTGGACTTTTGAATGCACTCGTTAAATGAATGGGGCTTGCGCAAATGCGTTTTTTCACATTTACAGTAGGAAATAGAGCACACGGCATAAGATAACAATAACTCTAACTTTACCATAATAAAGAAGCAAGAATTAAGTATAAAATGTCTGACTTTAGCATAATAAAATTAGCACTCACTGTGTGCATTCAGACCTATTGTACATGTTTTCAGTGGTAGGGTAAACAGGAGCACCTGGAGGAAACCTACACAGACACGGGGAGAACAAGCAAACTTCACATGTGCTTACCACTGCCACCGTGCCGTTCAGCCCATATAAACAAAGTTTTTACTAAGAGCCCCAATTTGTATTCACTTTGTCCATGATGGCATTTTTCAAGTCATGTATTTGTTCTTAGCTATTTTTTTTGCAAAACAGGCACATTTACAGCTTTGTTGGGAAAAGAACAGTTTAAAAGGCAGTTTGATCTGCCTCCAGTGGAGACCATATTTTTGCAACTCTGGCAATTTAACAGCTCGCTCTGAAGCATGGCGTTGGGCCGAGTTTATGGGTTTAGTCGACCGTGCAGATTTTGTGGCCTCTAGTGCTGAGTGTGTACCGCAGACCAGGGACGTGCGGTGAGGTTTGTGATTGGGGAGGCACTGACTTTAAAAGTCAGATTTACAATCATTATTCAAATAAAATAGCATTTAATCACCAATGCAATGACATCCACAAACTTTATATACTGTAAAGATAAGAGAACCAGCTTCTTTTAATAATCTCACAACAAATCTAGCTGCTGACTCTGCTCCGCATCAAACAACATCTTTAAGAAGCGCAGGTGCGAGAGACGCGAGGAGAGAGAGACGCGAGGAGAGAGGAGCAGAGAGAGACAGAGAGGAGCAGAGAGAGACGGAGACGCGAGGAGAGAGAGACGCGAGGAGAGAGAGACGCGAGGAACATAAACAATAATTTAAACAAGTTGCAGAACTCTTGAGCAGTGTTTGAATCAGTGTTTTTCGGAAAAGCACTACTTTGCCGGTATCTGTCAATGTTCAACATAAAACACAGATTAACAAACTCCTCCCCCGCAGCCGGACTAACCTCGTAAGTCCAGTGGTGGTCTCCCAGTCTATATTAATTCTTTCTTTGTTTGAAAGTCCAATTGAGAAAAAAAATCTTCATTCAAGTCATCCATTTTCCAGCAAAAGAAATAGTATTTTGGGCTGATTGTTTGTTAGCAACTCTGGTATGAACTTTATGCTCACTATCACCCCTAGCGGTGAGGCACAGATACCGCCTGCCTCACGCCAAGCTTTTTCCTTGTGTGTTCATCTACGATCAAAAGACTTAAACTAAATATAAATTGTACACACATACGTGCAATACACTACTAAACACTAAGAGGAGTTTAAAAAATGTTTTTAAAGCAGGATATTTGAAACAAACGGTGATATATCAACTGCACGAGCTGAGTGCACTCAGACACACACACACACACTGTGAGGGAGCGGTCTGGGGTGAGGCACGCAGGAGCGCTGCCTCACCTCGTCTCTTTGAATAGGAATAACGGGATTTCGGCGATTTTGACTTCAGAAATGATCAAAACTGATGGGAACCGTGCCGAATATACATTAAAAGCATAGGACAGTGGATATAAATTATATATTTAAACTAAAATAATTATTAGTTTCCAATAATGGCAGGTGAGGCTCTGCCTCCCCTGCCTCCCCTGACTGCACGTCCCTGCCGCAGACTGTACATACCGTAGAGGGACACTGCTAACCCGCTAATACAGATGCTACAAAATGCTAATGAAGCCCAATAGGAAAGTACTCATGGACAAAGTTTTCATCCAACTCTATTGACTTTGAATAGTAATCTCCTCTAGCTCAGTAACCATTTATGTCACACCATTTTGGACTTAAAATGATGTATGTTTTGATATTTTGTTTGTGAGCCATATAAGGCTGACTCATTACATGCGTTTGGATTGATTTTATTGTAGATTTGAGTTAAGTTACTGTTTATTTCCATTGAACTAAAGGTAAATAAGGCTTGTAATTATAGACTGATTTATAAAAAAAGATTCCTTCATTCACGGGGGAAACTCCAGCTTGCCTTAGCAACCGCCTTAGCAACACAGTAGTATGTCATGTATAAGATAATAGTCTGTTCTAAGGTGTAATTTTCTTCATTCTTCATTATAGCCCCCAGGAGAGCTTCACTTCTGTGGTTTTCACGTCCTGTTGTGGTTCACCAGAGATCCGGGGTTCATTCCAGGCTGGATATCTCTCTTTCCCCAGTCAGTCATGATATCATTACTTTTTATTTAGGAGGACAATAATATACATAGAAAATAAAAGTAATAGTACAGTAAATACGTGTATGTGTGGCAGGGTATAAGAAAACACCTTTTGTGACTCTTTCATTGTGTAGTTATTCAGGCTACATCACTGACGCCACTGTCGCACTAGTGCTGGGGCTTCTCTTCTTCATTGCACCTGCCCACGGACCCTCCAAGAAATATGGTAATGGATAATTCCTCATGGAGATCATAGACTGTACACAGATGGACAATGCTAACCCGCTAGCTCAATGAAACCCCATAGGGAAGTGCTCATGGACGGGGGTTTGATCCAACTCGCCTATTGTCTCCTCTAACTACGTCACAGTCACCCTTTTGATCTGAACAAATCTGTGGTTTAGTGCTCTATCCGTGATCCTGCTGTTTATATTTAGATTTTATCTTTGTAAATCCACATTAGAGCCATATAAGGATTGATCAATAAGATTCCTTCATTCGCGGCGGAAACTCCCGCTTGCCATAGCAACAGGTCTGCCCCTGTAACAGTGCAAAACTAATGTTGTGGAAGAAATGCCCATAAAAGGAAATAGGCTCAAGCTAGCTTATGTTAAAATTGGCCTATTCCACATTCAGAAAACTCTATAGTAAAGTTAGTTTTTCTGATAAATGTATGTTGTAGGAGAAACCTTTTACAATACAAACCTGTATTTACAGTACATACTGTATTTGTCCTGTATAACTCCATTGATTAAATACTTGAGTTTGGCTTTGATCAGTCCTGCATCTTTTTTGAAATTTATCTAAACGTGGGTTTGTCTCTTCCCGGTTCAGATACCATGATCTCGTGGAAGGAGTTCCAGGCCGCGATGCCTTGGACCGTGGCGCTGCTCGTTGGCGGAGGTTTTGCGTTGGCGGAAGGCGCTAAGGCAAGCAGCGTTCTCCTTTGAATACAATCTAATATATTTGTTCTATTTGAGTTTTATGGATAGTCTTGAATGTTGGGGGTTAAATACAGTATTTACTGGACTATCAAACTAATCTGCATATAAAGCGAATCAGCTCTTTTTCATCACTTAACCAACAGCTAATAGAGAAAAAGAGCTGTTGGTTTACCTGGACACAACACGATTTAATGACAATGATCAAGACACTCAGTTTTGACAATGACATTCCTGCTAAAATTCAATGAGTCAAAATAATAAAGCCATATACTCTGCTCTGACTATTGCCCTAAACACATTTCCTGGAATCGGCTCTCTGCTGTTCACATAAACACACTGAAGCAGGAATGTGCGCTAAGTCAACAGCTGATATACAGAATATAGGCCGTAGGGTTCACAGAAGTTTTATTTCTGTCAGAAAAAGTTCTATTTCAATTATGTTTTCATTTCTTATATAAAACACCACAGTACTTTTTTGAACTTCTGTAAACTCGGCTGTCTACATAGCGATGCAGCCAATATCTGTATTTTTATGTTGTTAGTGCGCCGCCAAAGCACAAGAACAGATTTGGACACAGATTACCAGAGCTGATGACATTCCTGCTTCTCGATGTGAACAGCAGAGAGAGCCAACAGAATAGCAAGAAAATACTCCGGACTTGTGTCTATGTTATTAGGGCTAGTCAAAAACTATTAAAAATCTGTAAAAAAGATCAAAATTATAACTTTCTTCTAATCTTCCTTGCACCGTACAGTTGCGACGGGCCTTTTGACAATACAGTACGCACAATATTTCCAACAATCGTCAAACTATACAGAACATAACTGGCATTGAGCTGAGGTTCTGACATTTTGCCTCCTAAACAAAACATGTAGTTTGTTGTGACGGGTTTGAAAAAGCTGATCTAAAGATGTGACAAAACCAAAAATACATACATGTGATAGATGTGTCACATGCATGTATGCAACAAAGTTCACAAAACTTAGGACCAACCCTTTTTTGAGAATGAGGAACTTAGGAACCCCACCTTTTAACTGTATTTAAGTTGCTATTTAAACTGGTTGTGTTGTGTTTGTCAGGAGTCGGGGCTGTCCATGTGGTTGGCTGGGCGACCTCCCGGTGTTGGCTACGATCACCGTGGCCTGTCTCATTGTCACCGCTTTAACCGAAGTAGCTAGCAACGCAGCCACCGTCACCATCTTCCTCCCCATCCTCTCTCCTCTGGTACAACTACACTCCAAAAAATAGTATTTAGTCAGCCACTTTAGCACATCCTTCCTCCCTGCTGCTGTCAGGCTGTACAACGAGAATGTATAACAATAACTGCTGAAGCTGTACAAGTGTCAAGAATTCACTAGTCACTTTACCTGTTGATATTTTTACCGATGTTTATTCTGCTCATATTCTTCGCTGCTAAAGTACAATATACACATCTGTAAATACTTATGAACCAAGTGCGATTATAGCTCCGGAGTTTATTTTATTTTATTCTATTTTAGAATCTTATTATCTTATTTTAATTACTATTATCTTAAATAATAGACTCTGTTTGATGTGTGCAATCTGAGTGCTCTAACTTCCTTCTTTCTCTGCTGTAATGTGCGCAACGATGACACTGACATTTCCGCACTGTGGGACGAATAAAGGAATATCTTATTTTATGTTATCTGTACAATATGAGAAATGTCTGTGATTTTCATCATGGTGATACCTAAATTGTACTGCAATGACAGAGGTCAAATGTTTCTTCACAAGGTTTTCACACACTGTTGCTGGGAGTAAAACTTTATCTATGAGCACTTCCATATTAGGCATATAGCTATATACAGTCTATGTTAGCATTGTCCATCTGTATACAGTCTATGTTAGCATTGTCCATCTGTATACAGTCTATGTTAGCATTGTCCATCTGTATACAGTCTGTGTTAGCATTGTCCATCTGTATACAGTCTATGTTAGCATTGTCCATCTGTATACAGTCTATGTTAGCATTGTCCATCTGTATACAGTCTGTGTTAGCATTGTCCATCTGTATACAGTCTATGTTAGCATTGTCCATCTGTATACGGTCTGTGTTAGCATTGTCCATCTGTATACAGGCTATGTTAGCATTGTCCATCTGTATACAGTCTATGTTAGCATTGTCCATCCGTATACGGTCTGTGTTAGCATTGTCCATCTGTATACAGGCTATGTTAGCATTGTCCATCTGTATACAGTCTGTGTTAGCATTGTCCATCTGTATACAGTCTATGTTAGCATTGTCCATCCGTATACGGTCTGTGTTAGCATTGTCCATCTGTATACAGGCTATGTTAGCATTGTCCATCTGTATACGGTCTGTGTTAGCATTGTCCATCTGTATACAGTCTATGTTAGCGTTGTCCACCTGTATACAGCCCTATGTTAGCGTTGCCCATCTACAGTGGATACAGTCTATGTAAATGTATTTCTATTTCTGTTTGATTTCTCTTCCGCTCTAGGCTGAAGCGAAAGGGTTACAAAGCAACCCTTTGTACATCATGATCCCTACTCTCTGCACGTCTTTCTCCTTCCTGCTCCCGGTGTCTAACCCTCCCAACGCCGTGGTGTTTGCCTATGGACACCTGAATGTGATGGACATGGTGCGTATAAATGTGCTAATAATCTTAAAATCTAAAAACACATGGGTTGTTAAAGCTGGGGTACTTACATATAGCTTTGTTCATTAATAATGCCGAAGTTAAAGTTTGTGAATGAATCAGACCACAACTGGCTGTATCGTATTCAAAAACATATATTTTTGCATACTTAACCCTTGGTTAAGTATGGTTTCCTCAAGTATTTGGTGGTTTACTTTTTGAGTCTGGAACTGGAATCTACTTCATTGAGGCCTCTCTATCACTCCATTTTAGGCACTTTTACCAACAAACTTCATCTCAACCATTACGTAAAGGCCTAAATTTAAAAAACAAAACATAGTATTTGTGTTTTTAGTGCTCCTTCATTATAGAAAATAAAAAAATGCTTTCTGAAAGGAGTGAACATTTAAGCAAACACTGTGGTTATTTAAAGCTGGGTCACATACAGCTTTGTCTTTATCATATGAGTCATTATTTGACCCCTTGGACTTAGATCTGATTGGCTGAGTGAGGTTGGTTCTTGCTTTTTCACTTTTAATCTGAAAAAATGTGATCTGAAGATGTGAGAGACGAAATAAGCTAGCGAAATAACTGTTTTGATATTTTGTTTCATACAGTAGCTACATTATGGTTTGAAATCTAGATACCCCAGCTTTAAGATCTCACGTTTGTATTCATGTGCTGATACTGTACTGAGGAAAAGTCAGCAGCGTGTTGTGTTTGCCGTCGGCAGGTGAAGGCAGGTCTTGGAGTGAATGTTATTGGGGGGCTGTGTGTGATGTTGGCTGTATCCACATGGGGGGTCCCTCTCTTCTCACTGGAGACTTACCCAGACTGGGCCCCGGTCCTTCCCACATCCAACACCACATTGCCTTAAAGCTGCCCTACACAACATTTTTTTTAAAATCTAGAAATATTGCATGCTGTTCGTCCCAACCAGGAAGACCACAACAAACACATTGATTATTTAAAGGGACAGTGTGTTTTCAATGTTATTTATTTTATTTTTGTAAGCCCTAAATCACATCAGCAGTCGTCTACTCAGTCTTGGAGGACTTTACAAAGTTGTCGATTTCTCAACAACAGATCAGAGAACGAAACAGTTGGAACACAGGAAATGCAATGTAACGACAAACACCAGGAACCAGTTGAAAGTACCTTTAACTTGTAAAAATTAACAAAAATCCCTATTCATTCTGGTTTTATTATGCATTTATGAATTTCTGAACGAGACCATATTTTTGTGTTTTGTTGCTCTATGAATTGTCCGGTTGTAAATATGGTGTATATATATGTAGTACATTCAGTTCACACACATTCATCATTCCTTTTCTTTATTATCAGATCATAAACAGATTACATTTCCATAACTGATTGAAATGGTTTTGTTTTAATAAAAGTAATTAAGTTAAACAATATGATTTCCAACTTTTTTTCTTCACTTGAAATTAACACAGATTTCACCAAACCCATTTTAAATATGACACCTTTCTCTACAAACATCTAAAAAGTTAAAGTCATAAGGATTTTGACCTTTATTCACTCATAACACAGTAATACAGTCATTTAAAAATACATAAAAACAGTTTGTTGAAAGCAGAGTTAAAGATGCAGTCAGTGATTTTTTTCTAGACGCATTTTTTTAAATATTGTGAAAAAACGTCCCTAAACCCTAAAAGTAGTCAAGTTTTCATGTGTTTTCAAATAGTATTGGAATTGACCAGATTTCTATAGTCTCCAAAAATGTATAAAACATATTTTGGAGCTGGACGAAAATAAAATAAACCAATTGGATGTGTTTACCCCCTTCACCCTCTTCCTGTTTCTCGCGAGTGCACCTGAGTTATCAGATTAATTTCAAAAATCTTAAATGGCTAAACAGAAAATGCCAATTTCACGTTTGCCACCCTCTCTCCCTGTTGGATGTTTGGTTTGGTGGAGAGGCGAGGGAAGGGGGGAGTGGTTTCCTGTTGGTGCTAAGGCTAAGCTAACATCGCTTACTGAACCTTTAACTGCTGCAAGTAAACAGTGTGTTGCTATGGTAACTAGCACTTATCTGGTAGAAAACTGAGAAAAAGGGACTCGAACTACCATTGAATGTTGGTTATTTAGCGACTGAAGACGGCTACGTATCAGTTTTACATTCAAATGAATGGAGCCGTCACAACGAGCAGTCACAACATTATATTTCCTATCAAAATATAATGTTATAAAAATAATCACATAGTAATAAACTACATACGGAGAGAAATAGAGTTCATATGACCAAAAATGTACATATGCCGAGTAATTACACTTCCTTTTGCGCCGGAAATATGGTGCTGTGGCAAGAGCTCTGCTGTGTACTATCAGAGCAGATAGTCTGGCGCACACTGGGGAAGTCTTGCACAGATTTTCCAATGTGGTTTTACTGCCAATGGCAAAAAAATCTTGAACCTTAAAGCTGTCAAATTGACTTCTCTGGAGTTTATTGTTAAGATAAAACACAACAAATGAAGCAAAATGGCAGAAATGCTTGAACCAGAGCTCAGTCCTCAGGGGTGAGGGATCATATGCAAATCATTAAACATTGTATTTTTTCTGCACACATACTAACTCCAGCTCATTCAAGGGAATCAGTTCAGTTCAACTGTTTCCCCTGGTTCAGTATACACAGTACAGTTCTGTATAAAATCATTGTCTAATCTTGTCTCCTAACATCATCACAGCCCAGGCACAGGCCTCCGGAGAAGAACTCCTCATACAGAAGATCTGGACAACAGAAAGGCTGGAGCTTCTCCTTAAAGCTGACCCCAGTGAAGGAGTAGAGCAGAGCAGACGCATCGACATCATAGAAAGAGATAACTCCTTCGTTGTTATCAACAGACACGCCCACTTTCTCAGGCTTACACTTTGTTAGAACAGAGATTTTCGGGTTGTCAGAAACATATAACCTTCCATCCTTTAAACTCAGGGTCCAGAAACCGTTCTGTGGATTCAGTGTTAGAGAGCCTTTTCTGTTGACTGACTCCTGAGCCACTCCTAAAGTCCACTCTGCTTTTCCCCTGACCTGAGCCTCAATGTAACCTCCATCAGAAAGACTCACTGCCTTTGTGCTTTGTGAGGGTTCACTGTGATCTTTTCCTTGTTGGACTGTGATTTCAGAGGACTTTGTCTCCAAAGGCACATGTACTCTGTTTGTTTTGACTCTCCTGAGCTCCTCCTGAAACAGCCTCCTGGTCTTCTCATTGAACTCCTGCTCGAGCTGACTCACTGCTCTGGCCACAGAGCCTCGATATGTGGGGGCACAGACTGAGGCACTTGTCCAGTCTCTGGTTGGTGTCTCTGGGTTCATTTGAGAGGTTTTCAGCAGGAGGATGGGGTCTTCATCTTGAAAGTGCTGCTTCACCTCTGCCCTTCTCTTCTTCAGCTCACAGAGCTCCTGCTCTATCTCCTGGATAAGAGCTCCAGCCTGCTGCTCTGTGTGGCTCTTCTTCTTGTTGATCTCTGAGATGAGGAGGTCCAGTCCTCTCTCCACACTCTCCTTCAGAGCTTTGAACACTTGGACTCCATCAGAAAGCTCTCTGTTTGCAGCAGCATGACTGACTCTCACAGAGCCACGCAGCTCAGTGATCTTTTTCACTCTGCTGTTGATGTTCTCCTGGAGGAGGTGGTCCGCCGTCTGCAGCTGTATCTTCTGCTGGTCACAGGCGTCCTTCAGAGGGATGATTTCATGGCCCTTGTGCTCCTCGTACACACAGAGAGCACACACGCACAGGTGCTCGCTCTGACAGAACATCTCCAGAGGTCTGTTGTGAGTGGCACACACTCTGTCCTCCAGGTTTCCTCGAGGCTCTGTGAGCTGGTGCCTCTTCAGACCTGCCATGTTCAGATGTGGCTCCAGGTGAGACTCACAGTATGAGCTCAGACAAACCAGGCAAGACTTCAGGGCTCTGTGTTTGGGCTCTGTGCACACGTCACAGGGCACCTCTCCAGCTCTAGCAGCGCGTGTTGAACACCTGCGCGACCTGTATTTAGACTCTCGAAAATGAGCAGCGATCTTTGCTATGCATGCGTTTACCTTCAGCTCTGGTCTAAAGAAGAATATCTTTTTACAAGAAGGGCAGCGACACTTGCCCTCAATAGGCCAGTTCTGCTCAATGCAGCATCTGCAGAAGTTGTGTCCACAAGGTAAAGTGACAGGGTCAGAGAAGACACTCTGGCAGATGGAGCAGTGAAACTGGTCCTCTGACAGCTGATTGGTGGTTGCCATGGCGCACACTGAAAACAGAGAGAGAACATTAGTGACTCATGAGCCTCTTGAATCACAAAGGCAGGTGGAGTAACGATGGAATGTAGGTGTCAATGTGGATGTACAAAAACACAAAGATGTTTTAAGATCAGGACAATTCAGTTCAATTCAATGCATTTTTGCGTAACCCTTAATGACGACAATAGTCATCTCGGAGAACTTTACAAAGTTGTCAATTTGGCAAAAATTGATCAGAGAATCAAACAGTTCAAACACGGGAAATCCATCAGTATCAAGCACATAGAAGCCATAAGTCCATCGATAGTGGGGATAACTAATGTCCATAACGTTCATGTACAATGTTATTAAATGTGCATATACGATCCTCACTGTCCTTAGACCCTCCTGCATTGGCAAAGAACAACTCCAAAAACCTAATTGGAAAGACATTTGAGAAACCTCAGGGACAAGGACTCAGACTACAGTCAGGACTCAGACTATAGAACAAGGACTAAGGAGGCTCCCTCCCAATCAGGGACAGGGGTGCACCCACAAATCCGTGCCGGGGGAGACTAGTTCACAGATGCAGGTCAAACAGTTTGTTTATAACGGTTTAGGTTGATATATGATTTAAATAAACCTATTATTTCATTTGGGGTCTTCATGGGAAGCTGACCACATTTAAAACATCGTTCATAATATTGCAGCAAAAAGTTCTTAAATACAGTTGAATTTGTACTCACGTTGTTAGCAGAGGAGGCTGACACTGAGAATACTGATCATATCTTCCAAGTCGTTCCAAGTCAATCCTGTAACGCCTTTTCATTCCTATCTACAGGTGTTCAGTGAATTACATCAGAGTTGTAGAATAAAGCAATCCGGAAACAGCGTTTGTTATATGCCCAGATACTGCCAAACCTGTTCGCCAAGGAATGTCACTTTTACCAGGATGATGCCAACTTCTACATTATTGTCATTTTGTTGTTATAGTAGAAGAAGAAACATGAGAACAATGATCACCAATAAACACAAGAATGTCACAACGTACAAAACTATCTCAAAATAATTGGTTCAAAACATATTTCTCTTTCATGGCACACACAAAAGCATGAATAATGAACACATTGTAGTGACTATGGGTGTGTGGTTGACTCATCTGCAAGTCCATGGGAACCCGGAGAAACACTGACCTCTTGTGGCCACAGACCTCGCCGTTGTCAGCTGTATTTGAACCATAGACCCCCGTATGTACGTCTGATATATACAGTCTGTGGCTACATCCGAATTCAGCAAAAACACCTCCTTTTTCAACCTTTTGTGTGCTTTCAAATTGACACAGAAAAGCTACGGTTCGACCGAGTGCAATTTAACACCTTTTTAGATGGTTTAGATGCCACAAAAAGGTTATTATAAATGAGTAGTAAAGTCTAGGAAGGATCAGGAAGGCGATCTTTGTGTGAATTCAGATGCAGCCACAGATTTGAACAGATTGGTCAGGCTGACATGCATAATAAATGAGAGACAAGTCAATAGTAAAGGACTGATGGAACTAAATATGTATATATAAAGTAATGCAAGTTTAATTATATAGCACAGTTCATACACAGGGCAACTCAAAGTGCTTAACAAAACAAGATACAATCATACAAGGCATTAAACTCATAAATAATCTCAGTAAACTAAAAAGTGTGAAGATACAACACTTCAGTTGTCTGCAGCTAAACAGAACTGTTTTAACCTGGATTTGCACATTGTCAGGAAAGAAGCCTGTCTCACATCTTGTTTAGTTCTCACTGTGCTCCTCAGAGTCCGAGGTGGTTCATATGGCACTAACATGTCATGGATGTACTTTGGTGCGAGTATGAGATTGTCTCAAAATTATATAGGCAAGGCAAGGCAAGTTTATTTGTATAGCACAATTCATACACAAGGCAACTCAAAGTGCTGAACAAAACAAGAAAGCATTAAAATCATAAATAATCACAGAACATTAAAAAGAAAGATAAAGATATAAAATCCCTCAGTTGTATGCACAGTTAAACAGAACCGTTTTTAACCTAGTTTTAAACATTGTCAGAGAGGAGGCCTGTCTCACATCTTCAGGAAGATTGTTCCAGATTTTAGCAGCCTGAATCTGAAAAGCAGCCTCCCCATGTTTAGTTCTGACTCTGGGCACTAACAAGAGTCCAGTCCCTGTGCTCCTCAGAGTCCGGGCTGGTTCATATGGGACTAACATGTCACTAATATATTTTGGTGCGAGGCCATGGAGAGACTTGTACACAAGCAGAGCTGTTTTAAAGTCTATTCTCTGAGCCACAGGAAGCCAGTGCAGAGACCTGAGCAGGGCTGGACTGGGACAAAAAAACGGCCCGGGCATTTTTTCCTTCTTAGCGGCCCAGGCAACTCAAAAGGTTCAAGGAGCCATATTTGACACAAAAACTAAAAACAACATCTGTCTGGAGCTGCAAAAAAAACAAAACAGCGTTGTATAATGGCTTATATATATATATATATATAAAGGCTTATATGAAGGTAACAGGGGCTGAAGCTGTATTAGCTACCTTAGCTACCTTAGCTACATTAGCTATATTAGACTAATATCTAAATGACAAAGTAAAGGCTAAACACATAAAAACCATTCATGATTATCAAATGTGTATTTTCATTACAGCGTGTCCTGGAGAGAATGACGCACCACGTGACAACTCTGCTTTTGTCATGGGGTGGGATGATGGAGGACTCAAATGCAGGAATGCAAAAACAATGATTTAATAAAATAAAAGTCCAGGTGAAAACTAAACTCAAAATCCAAGACTACAGAACCAGGAACAAAGACAGAACTTGACATAACAATGGACCAGCAACATGTGGAGAGGGGCACAGGGTAATTATAGACAGAGACACAGGTGAAACACATCAGGGCGGGGCAGACAATCAAGACAGGGGAAACAGGACGTCAAAGTCAAACTTAACCAAAGCACAGAGAACAGATATCAAAATAAAGCTAAAGTCCAAAATAAAATCCACACCATGACAGCTTTAAGTTTAATCTTCATGCAATTGTACAAATACAGTAAATACATCTGCTTTTTGGCTCCGAGTTCACCTGCATCACAGCCTGTTCATATCCATCACAGGCTGAAGTTTGCTGGAGCTGAATGTCCTTAATGGCCTTTTCTTTCACCGTCTTTGAGAAGGTTTTTGAAGTCTAAAAATAGGTGCTCTGACTTTATGATGAATGAATCTTTCAGTGAACAGTGTTTAAAGCTTCATTGTTCCTCCTGTTGCAACAAAACTTTTCATTACAAACATGAAGCAGTACTTCCTCATTGACTGAAAGCAAATGTTCATTCTCATTCTTAGTCCAGTCTTATCGACTCTCTCTCTTTATCTTTGGGATCCATGCGCACACACAGTCTGTAATGCACACACGCCGGTTTGTTTACAGCAGCGGCCGCCCGGCACGGGCCGCGTCACAGGATATGACGCACTACGTTGACAGAAATGCTAAAATTTAATATTACTTATACAAGTTTTTGCAGCATTGAAAAACGTCAAGAATGTTTTTGCTCCTACAGAAACCACATTCAAACTAGAAATAAAATATAGCCCTCACACTTCAGACATTTTTGAAAAGGCTCTAGGAGCCACTTTAGGGGCACTAAAGGTTGCCGACCCCTGGTTTATACAGTATGTGGAAGCAAATACTGTAGAGGATCAGGATGTCTACAGTTTCAACAATAAAATACAGTACAATAGTCTACATTAAACAGAGGAATAAACATGTCTCAGAGTGAGGGAGGTGGGCACAGACAATACTATTGTTTGTTACAGGGATGAGAATTGGTAACAATTTCTGAAATGCATATTGTCAGCCATTTGCTGGCTCTAAATCTGATTAATCTGTTCACAACATTTTACTTTTGGGCTCAAACATGAACTTTTAATGCAATGGAAAATGTAGGTACCCGAGCTTTAATTTAGAGGAGAGGGGAGACGCGGACTGTTTTCTGCAGCGGTGTATTTATTGGGTGCACAAATTACAAAAAGACACGCATGGTCCAGTGCGCGTTTATGGTCTTGGGTACATGGTCACGTTGCGGCTACGCGCTCACCGTGTTGTGTTGTGAGCGGTTCCTGCATCCAGCTCAGAGCCGCTGGATGTGGGAACACTGCGGCCGCTGAGGTGGTAGAATCCCGTTCGAGTATATACAGCAGGTGCTCCGCGGACACGCGCGCTCCCCTCGAACATTTCTCAACGGATTTACACTTTTCACAAACATGTTTTTTGTATGAAGCAGACAGACCGGCCCAAATATGGGCATCGGCCCTTCGGGCATTGCCCGGTACGCCCGATGGCCAGTCCAGCCCTGGACCTGAGGACCGGACTAATGTGGTCGTACTTCCTGGTTCTAGTCAGGACTCGAGCTGCTGCATTTTGAATGTACTGCAGCTGTTTTACAGCCTGTTTGGACAGACCTGTGAGCAGGCCATTGCAGTAGTCTAACCTACTGGAGACAAATGCATGGATAAGAATCTCCAAGTCTGCTTTAGACACTATGTTTTTGATCCTGGCAATGTTTTTTAGATGGTAAAAAGCTGCTGATGTTACTGATTTGATGTGGCTATTAAAATGTAAGTCGAGTCCAGGCCGTTCGAATGGTACACACGGCATGCCTCTGCAGGGCCCCTGGTTGAAGTTATTCGAGCCAGAAGGTTCCTCCACACAGCATGCCTGACTCTATTCGCATGGCTCCGGCGCGGGCTAGGGGCTATCGGCGGACCTGTCGGTGGTGAGACCGAAACGCCCTGTCTCTCCCGGATGCACAGAGACGCCAGACTCCCACCTTGGGGTGCTGGGGCTGGGCCCTTATAGGCGCGGTGGTCGGGCGAAGAACACTTTTCTTGAAACCTAATGAGAGCCTTGACAGGCTCAGAGCGCTCACCCTCTGGGATCCCAAGTGGGATGACCAGCTATTAGACCCTGAATGGTGCACACGCTACGCTGTCTAAATACTAGGTCAAGCAGGCAGAGCTGGCCTAACATGTACACACTGCCCGTCACCATACCAATTGAGTTGGTCCTCGGATCAGCCCCGCTGGAGTCGGTCACGGCCCTGGCGGAGCGCTGGGAAGGGGATCAACTATAATGCCTAGAGGCCCCGGGCTGGTGGCTCTTGGCGGACCTGTCTGTGGCAAGAATGAGATTCCCTGTCTACCCCAGATTTCACAGAGACGTTGGGCCGCCACTCAGGCGTAGAGGTCAGAAGACACGCTTTCTCGTACCCCTCAGTAGGGCCCAGACAGGCTCCAAACGAAAGCCCACGAACGCCCCGCACTACGACCAGGGTGCGTTCGCCCGAGGGGGTAGGCATTACCAGTTCTGGCTCTCGGTGGGTCTGCGGCGCGTGCCGCGGCCACGTGAGGCCGCCCAGGGAAAAAAGCCGAGGGCCCACCCCCTCAGTAGGGCCCAGACAGGCTCCAAACGAAAGCCCACGAACGCCCCGCACTCCGACCAGGGTGCGTTCGCCCGACGGGGTAGGCATTACCAGTTCTGGCTCTCGTGGGTCTGCGGCGCGTGCCGCGGCCACGTGAGGCCGCCCAGGGAAAAAAAGCCGAGGGCCCCTCTGGGGTGTCCCATAGCTGTCGTTGGAGCCCGGGGCAGTCGGGAGTTTGTGGTGGGACTGAGGACTGGAGACACCGAGCGGGAGGCAGAGAGACAGAGTGCCTAGGCCTGTCCTCTGGTTTTCACTTGGTACCTCTCCCTCAGGCCTCTCTTCTCCCTTCTTCCCCCACACACGCTTCATGTCTCATTGCACAGGACGG